GGCTGTTTCCTGCTGCCGAATGTCTCTCCAGCGTCACTGGTCTTCCCCTTTCGCCAATCCAGTGTATTCACAGAAGTCACTGGTAACCTGGAAATAGTCAATTACAGGTGATGGTACATGTACTAGTATTCCACTTATTACTGGCCAGGCTTTCTGGTTCTGAGTCTAGTATACGGCCCCTAATTTAGACTCTTTTGTCTGTTTTGCTGCAATCTGGCTAATGCTTGGTGGTAGGTTCCGTCAAAGACATCATCAGATTGTTTCCTGCTGTCATTGGACGTTTCTCTTCAAAACCTTGTCATCCTACAGTTCGTGTTTGCGGGGGTCTGCCTTTTTTCTCTGTTCTCAATTTTTTTTAATATGATTTCTTTTTGTGAAACTGAACCTTGTTCGTTATCTTCACCCATTTCTTAGTTAAAACACATCAAAGAGGGAGTTATCAACTGAAGATTCTAGTTTCCGAGATCAGATCTTTGAGGGGAAGTCACCCATTTCTTAGTTAAAACACATCAAAGAGGGAGTTATCAACTTAAGATTCTAGTTTCCGAGATCAGATCTTTGAGGGGAAGTCACCCATTTCTTAGTTAAAACACATCAAAAAGGGAGTTATCAACTTAAGATTCTAGTTTCCGAGATCAGATCTTTGAGGGGAAGTCACCCATTTCTTAGTTAAAACACATCAAAGAGGGAGTTATCAACTGAAGATTCTAGTTTCCGAGATCAGATCTTTGAGGGGAAGTCACCCATTTCTTAGTTAAAACACATCAAAGAGGGAGTAATCAACTTAAGATTCTAGTTTCCGAGATCAGATCTTTGAGGGGAAGTCACCCATTTCTTAGTTAAAACACATCAAAGAGGGAGTTATCAACTGAAGATTCTAGTTTCCGAGATCAGATCTTTGAGGGGAAGTCACCCATTTCTTAGATAAAACACATCAAAGAGGGAGTTATCAACTGAAGATTCTAGCTTCCGAGATCAGATCTTTGAGGGGAAGTCACCCATTTCTTAGTTAAAACACATCAAAGAGGGAGTTATCAACTGAAGATTCTAGTTTCCGAGATCAGATCTTTGAGGGGAAGTCACCCATTTCTTAGTTAAAACACATCAAAGAGGGAGTTATCAACTGAAGATTCTAGTTTCCGAGATCAGATCTTTGAGGGGAAGTCACCCATTTCTTAGTTAAAACACATCAAAGAGGGAGTTATCAACTGAAGATTCTAGTTTCCGAGATCAGATCTTTGAGGGGAAGTCACCCATTTCTTAGTTAAAACACATCAAAGAGGGAGTTATCAACTGAAGATTCTAGTTTCCGAGATCAGATCTTTGAGGGGAAGTCACCCATTTCTTAGATAAAACACATCAAAGAGGGAGTTATCAACTTAAGATTCTAGCTTCCGAGATCAGATCTTTGAGGGGAAGTCACCCATTTCTTAGTTAAAACACATCAAAGAGGGAGTTATCAACTGAAGATTCTAGTTTCCGAGATCCGATCTTTGAGGGGAAGTCACCCATTTCTTAGTTAAAACACATCAAAGAGGGAGTTATCAACTGAAGATTCTAGCTTCCGAGATCAGATCTTTGAGGGGAAGTCACCCATTTCTTAGTTAAAACACATCAAAGAGAGAGTTATCAACTTAAGATTCTAGCTTCCGAGATCAGATCTTTGAGGGGAAGCCAAAGGAAATAAGTTCTATAGTATTGCTTACTCTTGAAGGAAAATACTTTATTTGTTAGATTATACCGATTTAAGGTTAAAGGCATGAACACGCACAGCTTAATACAAGTTGGGTTTTTTTCTAGCCTGACAAGTTTGACTTGTTTTCGTAATTCTAGTAAAAGACTTAGCTGACTGTCAACCTATTGTTTTATTGAGTGAACATCTTGTCTTAGCTATAGATGGAGACAATCTCCATTTTATATGATAAATGAACCATGATCTATGCGGATGAAGTTTCTAAACGTACATTCCAGTCTTTAGTCTTGCAGCAGTACACTGTGTGGACCAAACTCTGCTTTCCTCCATATCCAAGGGCGCGTAAAAACGTGGGGGAGGGGGATAAACTAACATCAGTTTAATATTGCTTAGTATACACTACTATAGCTGGTATGGTTATCAAATGTTCGAACTAGAAATCAGAGATACATGTGATGATACACATTAAAATTATTAGGACCTGGCAAAGGCAGTGTTGCACCAAAACTTGCAAATCCTGATAGCTCACAAATAGCAAGACTATTTCTTCATCACCTGAGATCAATCACTTATCTGACCAGTCTCTGCTACTGTATGTTTCTAAATGTCAGAACCATATACTATATATAGTATAGACAAATTAATTGATGGTTCGCCATAAATCTTGCATGCTAATTAGGAAGACTAGTATTGATGTTGCTGTTAATAGATTGTTACTTGGATGTATTCCAACAAGGTTACATGTCAATAAATTGAATTCTTAAATGAAAATAACTCAATTTCCAGACTTCTTGGAGTCAACCTTACAAAGTGCAATATGTATAATGCAATTAGGTGTATAGCCAGAAAATGGCTAAACCTAAAGTCCCCCTGGTTTCATTGATAAGCAAGTGCTAAAAGATAACAATTTTTATGTCGATTATTTATATATTTTAATTGCAGTCCAAATGAAACTAGCTCAATCACATATCATTTGTTGCTAAAGCTCTGGCAAGAGATTACAACTGTAAATGCAAATGGTAACTGTTGGGTCAATCGTCCTTTAAGTAGCAAAGAAGTATTAATATTTTACCCAGTATCAGCATAGCGAAATGCAACTTTGTATCAACTTTTTTAAGATGTCTTACATCAGTATGATGCAATAACAATGATTTAAGGAATGGACTCATTCATTTGAAAAATAAATGCACTTTCATTATGGTCTTTGTTTCAATATTCATTTTGATTTTCAATTTCATTAAAAAAAAAATAAAAAAAATTAAGCATAATATTTGGAAAAACTTTCACTTGTGGTTAATGACAATACCTTACAAAAACAGTAAGTACACCTGTCCTAAACAATTAAGCAATCTATTGGAATATTAATTTGTTTAAATTTTAATTATCAATAATTCCAAAATATTGAAAATTTGATTACATACAATTGATGGCTTGAAACTCCGACAACTTATTTACAATGTTCGTAGTGGGACACTTTGACAGTTTACTATAAGGTATCTATTATCTAATCTGTTTTACAATACTGATATCAGAATCAGATCATAGAGAATTTTTACTTTTTTAACAGTTTTGTTATTGTTCCTCATCATCCACATTTTTATGTTTACAGTAACAAAAGAATCAGTCGAGGGCTTATGAAAAATCAACAATGCATACATCATAGAACATAAAGAACAAAACAGTGGGTATTTTGGCAAAAAAACACACTTTGGCAATATATTCATATGCACCAAACAAAAATATCTTTTGAAATAGTCTACCTACAGTGTGCATTCAGATAAGAATGGAAAGTAAAATATACATATTAATTCTAGAGAGAGAGAGCAGACAAAGACCATTTAACAGCAGATCTAAAAGCCTCATGAAGTTAACCAAATTCTGTAGTTTTTGTCCTGGTAGAATTTATAAATATCTCAGTTTGACAACAGACTAGGACTCAACTTCCAGTTCTAAACTGTTAAGTGTTTGTTTCCAACATTGTGACAATTTAAGCAGCACACTCAGTGAGTATGTGACTAGAAGAGTATTATGACAGATAATGACAAAGTCTTATATAAAATCATATGTAAAATCATCCTCATCATTTCGCATGTCAGTGTATCACAACAAAAATCAATCACACAGCTTTCTATAAAAGAAATAGTAGAAGAAGTATATCAGCAGGTTAGGGCAGATCTTTTATAACTTGTGAGATCTTAAAACATCAAAAATTTAAAGACAAACATTGTGAAACAGTCCAAAACAGACTGATATTTTACAAATAGATAATTATTAAAGCTATCACTCATTTGGTACAATTGCCATTTAAAAAAAAGGTAACTTTTCATACATTTTATAAAAACAAGTAAGAATCATTTGTCAGATGATATCTATTATATATACAGAGTATCTAAACAATTTACAGGATTTTTCCTTGGTGCTGTCATTTTCTTTTTTTTAATTTGAACATTGTATTACAAACGTATTTAACATGTACTTCAAATGAAAAGAGAACAAAATTAACATCTTAAAAAATATTCTATAGGTTTCATGTGAAAAAATCACTTAAGAGATACTAAAGTAAACGATCATGTGAATTAAATGTGAAACTCTTATGAAACTCATATGAAAATTCATGAAATACCCAGCTGGTTGTAAAACTTGCAAAATGTACATAAACTTGACCAGATTTTAAAATTGACTATATTTAAAAATCTTTCAGACTGAAATACTGGCCATAATGTAATACATCTTTTATAAGAAATAAAAATGGTGAAAAATCATGTATATAACTATACAAAGAGGTGTCAAAACATCATGAACACATCAAAGATTCAAATTGAACAAATAATTTACACACATCCAGTCTCAGATAACTACAAATATTAGTTAATCACTAAAGAGGTTATCATTTTGATATCTTAAATTCACAACTATGTCAATACTAATGTAGTATTGTATAGAAAATAATACTTCAAATACAAATAAATAACACATACTACATATCAATACTTGATAGAAGATTGTTCCATACAAATGGTTGACATATTCCATGGCTGTTATAAATATGACTTAACTTGCCAGTCACAGTTATGTCCCATCATAAAAATGATTATCATATACACAATGTGTGAGTAATACAATACATAAATGACTAGAAAATCACACTTAACAAGATGTCTCTTGAAAAGATCCTGCACACATCAGCACCTAATGAGTTCTTATTCACAGCAACTATCATCATGACAGAAAAATCAATACAAATCCGAAAAAAAATTAAAATCTTCAAAAAAATCAAAGTTTTTAAAAGACTTCGAAAGTTATGTTTTACACATATGGCAAATCAAAAACATAATTGAACATATCTCATTTAATCAAGAAGTCAAAAGGAAACAAATATAAGTTCACTCATAGAGACTCAAGAAAAAAAACAAAAGAAGGACCTGAGTCATCACTGTCTGTTAAAATATCAATAATCTTGAACAAAAAAAAACTGGTGGATTATCCCCCTTTAGTGGAAGTGTCCATTTCTGACTTCCTTATTATTTCTGTGACGTAGATTGTATGGAGAATGACTAGAAGAAAATCCATTTAGTCTGCCTGCTGGATGAGTACCATTTTTTGATATAGACACACTGTTATTGTCTGTCTGGTTGGATGTCTTACTGGCCAATCTCTCTGCTTCTTTATCTGCTTCAGTCATAAAAAATCCATCCTCTAGAGTCTACAATAGATAAATTAATATCATATTTTTAAACTTGTCTTACTCTTCACAATTATTTTTGGAATTAATCCCCTCATTTATTTTCGTGTTCCATTTTGGACACCCCATCCAAAACAACATTACTATCCCTGTATATTAGATAATCAATACACTATTGTGATTACCTGAAACTTCAACTGATTGCATGAAGTGCTTAATCTTTATGTCACTTTTTAATCACATGCTTTTATCCTTGAGTAATAAGAAACAAATGTTAATACATACTCATTTTTGAGAAAAAATGTGAAATCATAACATACATATAGGACAACAAACAAACAAACAGACAATTAACAAATTATCATGCAGGCAAAGTAACATTTTAATCTTATGCACAATATTCAAGTATAGGGTTACATTCTTTAGAGCTAAACAAACATGGGGGATTTTTTCAAGCAATTGTACAGTTGTATCAGTTTTTCAAAATTCACACATATTAACTCTAACACTTTATGCTTTTTTATTCTATCCTCTGTCTACTGCTTTTGTTTAAAAATCTGCTTTTCTACAAACTCCATTTTTTGGTTCACTTGGATAGCCATTTTGAAAGCCACTCAGTTATAAAATCTTGTTGGTTTTTAAGTTACCCTGTGTTTACTTGGCACATAAAAATGCTTTTGTCATTCCGATGTTTAGATGAATTTCAAGGTGGCATTTGGCAACAACAGGGTGCATACATTCTCTGTGATAACATTGCTTTGATAAATTTTGTCAACGTTCCCAAGAAAAAGGGAGATTGTGGTTTAGAATCTGGATGAAAACTTTTGACTTCATTCATAAAAGTAAAAAAGGGAATCAGCATTTATTTTTAATTTTTTGCAACTCTACTTTTGCTTTCAGACATCACAAGAAATACAAATCTTGTTTAAAGAATTACAATCTAGTTTTAGATTCAAATAGTCTCATGACATCATTTGCTCTATTTGGCAACTAAATGAACAAAACAATGACAATAATTTCTTCCAGGTTATAACCCACAAACATCACTCTTCAAAAGGCTAAGCAGCCACTAAAAGCTATTGTGATGAGCATGAAAGATATTTCTTTGCATAATTTATATACGTGGTGATTTTGTTTACCTGGTAATTCATTACAGTTGATATTAATCTTAATTATTACAGTGGTCATTAGAGGCCATATACTTTGACATATCCCAGATTGGAAGTGTAAGAACACTGCATGCAATGCTACTACTTTTGAGGTTTGAATCTTCCTCTTTTTCATCACAGTAGGTTAACGTGTATGCTAAATTGAATCTTACCGTCCATTTCCAGTTCCTGGCATAAATAGCACAGAGGTACACGCAGACAATACTTCCGACAAACTGTAAAACAGGGTACAACATTAATTGGTTTATCTAATAATTCTGTTTAATATAGTAAAAGAAATTGAATTCATAAAAATTGTAACCACCAACCCTCTTCAATATAGCCCTAGTGTTGGACATATTGGTGTTTGAGATACATGTACTGAAGGTGAATGTAAGAATACACATGTTATCAGGTATATACATGTATAATGGGGTTGTTAAATCAGTCCAAATCTTATAATAATATGATAAAGGATAAAGTTGGAGGGGGACTCAAATCTTAGAAATTTAGGTTTAAGGGATAATTCACAACTCACTGAAAAGCAAATAAGCTTTATAATTGATACCGATTTGTATGGGCCTGTGCAGTGGTGGATTTTGGGGGGGGAGGGGGGGGGGTGCACCCAAGGTAAGCGTAAATCATACTTTCATTGAGAAAATGTAAGAATGTCTACTATGTAGACCTCATTTTTATCCTACAAAATCTCTAGAATTCAGGAGCTGACTTTGATTAATATGATCATTTAACTGACTTCGAAGAACAATACCCCTTAGCACTGTCCTTCTCTGGTGGCTAAATGATCTTATGAAAGTCATATATAAGTATAAGTACAGTGAAACTTGTCTAATCCGGATGTTGTGTATTCCGAAATCTTGCCTAATACGATGTAAACTTAAAAGTCCCTTTCAGTAATTTCAGTTGTTTAAAATGTTGTCTAATCCGGAATGTTGTCTAATCCGGCCAATTTCTTTGGAACCAGTGGTGGCTGGATTAGACAAGTTTTACTGTGTAATATTCAGATTATTCATATTGTACCTGAATAGTTAGCCACATAACTATATAGGACACTTCTGTCTTTTTAAACAGTTCCAGCCCAAACTTGACACAAATGAATGCTTCAGTGAATGTCACAATGCTGAAACATAAATATCTGGCATTAGATGAATGTTGCTGAATGAAGATCTAATTTAAGCTCACAATTAAAGCTAGGTATTATTTTGTCATGTTGACCTTTAGAAACCTTTACATCTAAAAAGTAAATGACACAAAAGTGTCAAGTGGTATAAAAAAGTGATTTGTCCATGCTCTTTAATTACTTAGACATGCATAAATAATGCAATCAGTCCATTCAAATGAAATTACACAGTTTCAACTTAAACTTATAACTGATTTTTCTTTTCATTTTTCATGGCATGAAATTTAAAACATTATTTTTGAAAGATCCATAGACAGAAGCAACTTACATGAATATCCAGCACTGTGTTCCTACCCTTCTACACTGGGTGTCTGTCACATATACATAGTACTGTCTGTAAATAAACACAAAAGCATGTACAAGTTTGTGGGTGTTCAGAATAAACCATAGCAATCCAAACAATAAAACCTGAGTATTATAGAGATGGCTTTTGATAGTGGGAAGGCTAAATGCCACATTCGTATAAGACACATAATTCAGTGTAGATTCCTTATTAAACCTCAGTAATTAATTTCACAGAAGACTTGTAGATGTCAAATCGTGAGAACATGAATTCATTAATGTACTGTTGATCAAATTTTTACATGTATTTCAGCAATATAAAAATAAAAGTAATTTTTGAGTGGTGCTTCTCATGAAAATATGATATAAATAATAAATTCCATGTATATATTTAGGAATCTACAGTTTCCACCAGTAATTCAATATTTTATATAAAGAATCATCATTTAAAGAAAGACCAAAGAAAGTAAACAATGACAAGTCTAGCTAGAAAATACCTGATTGAGGGGGCTGAGATCAAGCTAATGAGAACCAGTCTCCACACATTGATCTGATGAGAAGGAGGAATCTCAAAGATTTGTTTAAGGAAGAATGTGTTGAGTTCTGATAACTGCCACACAATGATAAGGAGAGACACAGCTACCACCCTCATAGTGGAGGAGTGGGGGTCCAACCAACGTACATTATACCAACTGAAAATAAAGAAAAAGTGAACTTTAATGCTGATACATGTGTATTTTCAAGTCATGACAACAATACATCGTAAATTTGAAAATAACTTTCCAACTGGAATAATGATTATGCTAATTAAGTAATTAAAACCAATTTCAAAAAATTTTAATTTGCACTTTAACAAAACATGCATGGACATTCTGCAGTTTTTAAATACTTTCAACATATGAAGGTAATGAAAAAAAAAAACAGGATCCTGTTGCTGCATTAAATTGAAGTACATAAGCATAAATCAATGTAATATTATGATGGATTCCCTAAGTGACAGACCTGCACTTTACAGGATCTTACCTGACAGGTGTAAACTGCAGCACAGCTCTCCTGATCTTCCCAGTTGTTGAGTGGATGTCTCTGGTAAAATTATCAGAAATAAAAATTGATAGGATATTTAGGAGAATTAGAGTACATCTAGTAATTATGTCGATCAAGTCTTGCCAATGACTAAGCCTACCAAGACAATAAAGCACACAGATAGAAATGGCATTATCAGGTACACATACCTCTGCACAATTCTAAAACATCAAGCTAGGTTTTTTTTCCACCCTTATCTTAAAAGCAGTCTTTTTAAATATCATTTTGGGAAGAATATTACATTAAAATCTCAAAAGCAATTTGGAAAATATATCTAATTTTGGGAAGAAAGTATAAACTGTGAACAGTAGTAGCAATTCAGGTTTACAATATGATGTCAAACAAGTATGGCTTCACCTTAATCAAGAGGGAATTTATTGGAAACCACATAAGTTAAATATAAAAATAAGGCCCAGTTTAGCCCTAAATGGTCCTGTTCTAGTACATACTCACTCCTGTCTTCTATTTTAATTATGTAAATCAAGAGATATGTGCAAAATCAATACATATTCTGCAGAATCCAATACTCCAATGCTTTTTTTTTTCAAGGTTTATAAAATGTTTCAATATTTTGCCCAGATTTTAAAACTTAAAAAAGAAAAAGGTATGCCTGCACTGAAAATATTAATTCTTGTCATATTCTCATAATTGTTTAATGTTTGAAACACTGCTTTAAAAAAAAAAAAAAAAAAAAAAAAAACAAGAGTTTTGCTCCATTTATACATTTCATATTTCTGGTACATGTACAACATACCAGCCATTAAATCCTCCAGTATATTGTGTAATACAGTGTCTTCCTTTATGTGTGTTTATAACTAAAAGAATAAAATTCATTCATTTTTGAAAACATCTATAATTTGTTATTTACCTGTAAGAGATTTCTTTCTAAACCTTCTTAAACAACAAATTGAATAAAGGTACCTCTTCACCTGCATATGTTGATCTAATTTGTCTGATTAATTTCCCAAAATGATTTTAAATGTCATACATGTCTGTCACACCATATACTCTTATAATCATTTAATTTAATCAGGACTGATTGATGAAGAATTTACATGTCTAGTATACCATCAATCATCAAGAAGTATTCAAATTGTAGAGGAGAGAGAGAGAGAGACTATGAACCCTTATCTGTACACTCCTATACAGGAATTGTAATATTAGATTATGTGGGTTATTTATAAGACCTGAAGTTTTCATATTTGAGTTATATGCATACATGTTTTTCTTTACGAGATGTGAAAATTAGCACTTGATAAAAATGACATTGTCTGTTTGATGCCTAAATTTTTCCTTATCGTGACAAATGTCTGGATTTTGAAAAACCATTTTCAAAATAAAACAACAGAAATTCAAAATTCAGACCTCTTTACTCCTTTTGTTGTTTCTCAATATTTCAGATTAATTTTGAGTAAGATTTGACCTTTCTCAGGAAAATTTATATATCTGACAATGTCCCATCAAGTGATTAAGAGAAATGCCACACCATTACACTTAACAGCTATCCATTATCAATAATAGATAAACCACCATCACAATGTATTCTAGATGTGATCATTTAAAGTGTGCTTGATAATAACAACAATAAAACACACAACAAAAAATTCTAGAAATTCTAAATTCTAATATTCAGATTTTATTGGAATACAGACTAAGAAATGTAATTTGTATTTGAATTAATCCAGAGTTGGCCATTTCCTTATTTGTGTTAAATTTTTACTTGTAAATCCATAAAAAATACAAAGAAATCATAAAAGTAAAGAGGCCTGCAAATTAAAATGTTCTTCATTTTGCAAGTTCTACTTTTTTAAAAAACTCTTTTATGTAATTTTTAATCTTTTACTTAAGAATCTGAGAAGTAAATCTCACTTGATGCTCTCCCAGTGGTAATTACGCATTTCTAGTTTACGACAGACATACATCCCCAGCCAGATTCCGAGACCATTACAGATGAGAACATCCAGGACCCATGCATCCCACCAACACTCGGCAAAGTTAGGCAGCAAGTGGGAAAATGCCATCTAAAAAAGAATTACTACAGCTTATCACTAAAATTCTGTATCTAGAAATATTTAAATTTATGACATTAAAGATGTATACAATGATGTATACACATGGGCCTAGTTTATTTCATGTAACTGATTGTAATTAACAAAAATACAATTTAATCAAAATATGACTAGATAATTATGCTTTTAGTTTAATTAAATAATTCTCGCTTTCTTTTATATGTTATGAAAAGCTTATTTTTGACACAAGAACTTTTGTTTGGACTATAATGTAAATGTGAACAAGAGGCCCAGGCCCATGGGCCACAATGCTTACCTGAGTAATTCTAGCCCTGTTCCTCTCCAGGAGATTTTAAGAAGACTTTTACATTCCAATGAAAAATTGTGACCCCACATTTTGACCCCACTCTAACTCTATGGATCTCTGAATCCTCAAAATTTGGTGATACTTCGATCATTATCCATATGACTAAAATGGCCTTGCATCTATGGAGAAGAAAATTCTTTTCCTGGATACATGCATCATGTAAAATGTAATCCCAACCTTTGCCAACCCTAACCTGGGGTACATAATGTGAAAAAAAAATGTATCCACACATCTCATAAAATCGGGGGGGGGGGGGGGGGGGGGGGGGGGGGCATGATTTGAATCTTCACATGTCCGAAAGCTTTCACATAAATTTCATCTTTTCTTGTTGATCCCCTATTGTGTTCCCATCCTATCCCAGGAGCCATGAATTGTATACTACCCCAGGAAGCTTTCACATAAGTCATCTTTTCTGGCTTAATGGTTCTTGAGAAAATTTTTAAATCAGCCATCCTTTTTTTTTTTTTTTACCTTTTCATGATTATCTTCCCTTGGAATGGGGCTTGGCACTTCATTTAAACTACCAGTATATAGAATCCCTTTTACCAAATGATGCTTTATGCCAGCTTTGGTTATAATTGCCAGTGATTCTTGAGAAGATACAGAAAATATGAAAAGTTTACAGATGAACACACAGCTAGACAGATGGATGCCTCACAACAGGTGATTAGATAAGCTCACTTGAGCTTACAGCTCAGGTGAGCCAAAAAAAATTAATCTGCATCAAAGTTGGTTATTTTTTGTTGTTTTGTTTTGTTCTTTTTCAAATAACATGCAGTGAATTTTTATGCAGTTAGTAAGCCAGGAACAAGTTGTGCTCACAAAAATCCACACACTTTAGGGATTAAGATATAGGAGGACAGGAGACAAGATCAGGACACAGAGGATAAGACATTATAGAAGAGAAATCTTTTACTAAAACCACACAGCATGCCAGCTATGATATTTTTTTAACTGTGTTAGATCATCACTTGACTCCTATACGGAAGAATCTAACACCTTATAGCACCACTCTTAGTGTGTACAACATAACTTGAAAAGGAAACTTATGACCACCATCTCTTTCTCTCCCTATGCAGTCATGGAGTGGACAGTGCTCACGTAACTGAATGATTAATTAAGGAGCCTGGCAAAGTGACATCCATACATCAAGCTTACAACACACAATGATTTCAAGGCCACCTTCTAGCCAATCATAAGCTAATATGGTTACACTTGGTAACGAAGATTGACATTAAACACCCTATAAACAATGTTTGAATGATTTATCATGGTACCCAAGATGGCCCCCGTACTATATTAACCTGTATATTTTGAAGCTATCCTCAAGCTTACTCTTTACAATCATGCTCCACCTGGTATAAAATATTTAACATTTTTTGGATAAGACTGAAATAATCCTTCAAAAACATGTGACTTTTTTTCAAAAAGTTATACCATAAATTAGATGAATTCTAAATTTGTAGAGCTGTTGCTGAAAATAAGTTCATTTAATTAAAACTGCTTGTCACGAAAGTGTCAGAATTTTTGGAACAAGTTATATAATTGTATGAAGAAATTAATGCAGACACACCATGTAACTGTATATTTAGAAACATTTTGTTATGAAAAAAAAATATATGAATGCCAATTTTTCTAAAGGAATAAAGGTGATATGTGCAGAACATATTTCAGATTTTTGAATAATTTAGTAATTAGGGACTTAAGAATCCAACACAACATAATAAGGCTTTAAAGATTGGCCATGAAATTGAACAGCATTTTCATTACAATCAAAGGATGTGTGAAATGTTTCCTCATATATATATGAATTCAGTTTACACATAATTTGGTAAAAACTGTTTAAAAATGTAATTAAAATCTCTTAAATTTTGGTGTATGATATGAATAAAGATTAACCTGTTGATATATATATCAATATACATATATATATATACCTCAGTAATTTCCCATGTGATGCTGATGGTCCATAGAATGCCATGATGACGAATCAACAAAGCCTTGAAGAACCAGCCTAACAAATGGGCTGCAGCGAAACAGTCTATCATGCTGTACAAACGGGCCCAGTCCATCTTCCAACAATTCACTGCATACTCCTATATATACACATAAAAAAACTTCATAATTATTTTATAAGTGACAATTCATAGATTAGTGAAATACGGAATCATTACTTATTGATGACTTGTTACTACAGAATTTTGCACAAAAAAATGAATTTTTCGGAAAGAGTAAATTTCCTTTTCAAAGATTGTATAAAATATAATTTTATAAGAACTGTTTGTTCCCTCGAGGCTCACAGGGGACAGTGACTTTGAAGTTTATCAGACTGGTTTCTTGTACATGTACATCCAGAGATGTTACTTATATTTACATATCATTAATCAAGACTGGTGATGGCTGGTCCAGCAGTATCAAAACTGATGTAAAAAATTATTGTGTGAGATTTAACAACAGTAAACAATATATCATGGCTCAGAGAAGGATCACAGGGACTTACAGTTATGTACAGAGATGATACTTGAGAAACTGTATGAGTGAATAATTTTAGAAGCTGTCTATCATTCTAACACAATAGGATGTAATATTAGCAATCCTTACTACCCTAATTCACCTAATGGTTGCCATAAATAGATGGTTACAAATGGCAGGTCCATTGGTCTTGAGAGTCACCTGATCATAATTATCAACCAGCTCCATAACTTGCCTAAAAATTCTAGTTCCAGGTGGACAAGAATTTATAACTTAAGTAGAGAAGGTATTTCTAGGTCAATACTACAATGTCCTTTAGTATGCTTGCTAGATATCCATTTGTTACAAGGACTTTCAAATAGGGTTGTCAATGAGTAACCAGTTAATTGAGTACTGTAGGTTCTTTATTTTCTGCAAGTACTTCACATCGCAAAATGACTTGTAGACACTAAATTGCAAGAATATGAATTTGGGAGTGTTCTTTTGATCAAGTCCTTTTACAAACTAGATTTCAGCAATATAAGGATATATAGCAAGCGGTGCTTTCCTCAACATTGCATGATAATAAATTCCTTGCTTATATCTGGGAATTTTACAGTACTCATCAAAAGGTCCAAGTATCAAATACATGTACTGAAATAAAACTCAAAAGCACAGAGAGCGGGGCTCATTTACACAATATAGTTAATTCACAAAGACTGTTCTACATGAAACAATTTTCATTCCTAAGACTAATTTCTGTGATATCAAAACTCTGTATCACAAGGGACATAACTCCTGTTAGTCACATTTAGTAACAGTGTAACTCTTCATCAATGCTATGTTTTGTGTTGTAGTGTCAGAGAACATGAACTTAAAGCATTCAGCTACACTGATATCCATCAATCTGTCTTATCTACATGTACAGGTAGGGTTTGGAAGAATAGTGAGATTATATAATGCCAAATTATGTAAAGTGGAACCAGGTTCTATGTTAATCACTCAAACTGCCCATAACTGTCATTTCCACCACCCATTATTATAATCTTACTTAATCATATTTTTTCCATACCTGTATTATCATACACGATATTAAGTCACGTATCATGTTCCATGCACAACAATTGAAAAGTAACTCTTAATGCTATATAGTTATCTATTACTTGTGGCATTCTATCTAGATTTTTTGAATTAATTACCTTATTTGGTTTTATATGAAACATATATGTTTATATGAAACAATGAAAGAAATCAAATTGTTTTTATTTTCATTTCAAAGTCTCTTGCTGAATCAGCAGACTCTCTTCTAGACTGACAGTATCCTGCATTAATTTATTGATTTCATTCTTGCAAGATGTTGGGCCGTTTGCTTTTTCTGTCAGACATTTGGAAGCTAAATCAATACAGGCATAAAGAGGCTGCTGAAACCCAACACTGCCAGTGATATGTTTGTATCTGCATGTCTGCTATTTTACAGTTCTCCCTTTTAGATATCCAGTTTTATGATATCAAAGCAATGTTAAGATTAATGAAGGTTCATTGATTGCTTATAGACACTGATGTTACATGGAAATAACCCACATTGCCCCATTTGTTTAAAAATCTTCTTTTTTTTTAAAGGCATGCATTATAATAGACTGGAATATTGAAATGGCTCTCTATTATAGTATCAAAATAAGTTTTGCAATTCAAATATATAAGTATAACTATCAATTAAACTGAAAAATATTGAACTGTGGATAATTACCTAACATATCCATTTAATTTATTTGAACATTTCAAAACTTCAAATAAAAGTTACCATGTTCACCTTAAAAAAAAAATATTTACTTATATCATTATAATATTCTTTACCTTTTGTGGCATGATAATAAATACTAACAATGTAATCTTGGATTTGATATATATAGCTATAATAACCTAAAACATGTAATAATGACCAATTTTTTTTCTTCTCATAATAGTCACTCTTAATATTACATTTTTTTTCCTTAGAAAATATACCCCTCAGAACAGAATTAACTCATCTTATTGGTTGGTTTCATGTTACCAGTGAAAAAGCTATGTGATTATAGGTCATATAACATTAAGTTAAGATGTACAGTACTATGTGTCATAATACTGAGGCTTCAATAAAGATATCTAATTGATTGGAACTGTTGTTCTATTTCTGTTTATCTCAGCCCCCCTCTGGCATTTATATCAACTTAAATGCCAAATAAAATCTATCAATACTGTGATTTTATTCTCATAACCACTCAAATTACAAAATCAAACATTTCTGGAATTAATCCTGATTCACATGATTCGACTATGTATTACGTATACATCAACATAACAACTTTTCAGGCTATATATGAATGTAAAAACATAAAAAACGACAAGACAGTCAAGCAAATAGAGAAAGGACTACTAACCTATAAGCTTCCCTTACCTTATCTTCAGGAGCCACACCCTTTAAGTCCGGGAAAATCCATTCTATCATTAAACGAACATCTCGACGATTTTGAAACAGCAGAAAAACTAACACCATGAAGTACAATACACTCAGTCCTATAACAAAAAATCATAGCAAACTTTTACGAAAGGCTTCAAATGATTCACAACCCATTTCACAAAAGACCTCAAGACTATGACAATTTTTTTTTTTACATTTTATCCAGTAGATCTTAAAATTTACATGTATTTCATCCTGATTAAAATAAATTAGAGGAATTGAGTTGTGGGATTTAGTACAAATATTTTTCAAAAAAAAAAAAATCATGTTAAGAATTAAGAAAAAACTAAAAAAATGTCCAAAGAACATGAATGCCTGGGGCTCTTGAATGATTTTCTTTGAAACTGAGCTGAACACAGATTTTTAAAAAGTGAGGTCAAGGTAACAGGAAAGGTCAAGGTCAAAAAATGTTGAAGAAGTTGAATAGCTGTCATCAATATGTATCAGCATATGAGGTTTAATAAAAAAAAATCCTAAATAGTTTCTTTAAAACTTACCTAAACACACATTTTTGATAAGTGGTGGTCAAGGTCAAAAGAAAGGTCAAGGCCAAAAAATGTTGATGCAGTTGAATAGCTGTCATCAATATGCATCAGCATATGAAGTTTGATAAAATATTAAATACTATGAATAGTTTCTTTAAAACTGAGCTAAATGCAAATTTTTGATAAGTGGTGGTCAAGGTCAAAGGAAAGGTCAAAGCCAAAAAATGTTGATGCAGTTGAATAGCTGTCATCAATATGCATCAGCATATGAAGTTTGATAAAATATTAAATACTATGAATAGTTTCTTTAAAACTGAGCTAAATGCAAATTTTTGATAAGTGGTGGTCAAGGTCAAAGGAAAGGTCAAAGCCAAAAAATGTTGATGCAGTTCAATGGCTCTCATCAATATGTATCAGCATATGAAGTTTGATAAAAATATCTTGAATACTTTCTTTGAAACTAAGCTAAACGCAAAGTATGATGGAAGGACGGACAGAAGGACAGAAAGCAGACATGACAAACGCTTTATGCCTAGGCGGCTGGCCACATTCATGGCGGGGCATGAAAAACATAATCTTTGGTCTTTATCATCATAATTAAAGTCCTGTTGTACACAAAGCCCAAGACTATTGTATCAAATTCTCAAAATTTTTGGTTGTAAAATTTAAAAATAATCATCCAGATAGGACAATTAAAGTCATTTATTAATAATCTTGAGTGATGTACAAGTTTAAATGTATATTAATTTGCAAAAATATTTAAACAGAATTATTACCAAATACTATTCTCCATATCCCTGGATGAGGGCGGGTAAAGGGTCCTACAAAAAAGCAGTAATTGTATAGTTAATATTATTATTATTAATTCCTCAATCAAAATTTTAAACACTCTAAGGATACTGTATTAAAATGAAAAAGATCTAAAAATAATATGAAAAGGCATAGGGCTGGTGTGCATGCTCATCTTAATAAGTATATACAGTCAAACATCATTATCTCGAACTCAACGGGAACAAGAAAAAACTTTGAGATATCCAAGAATTAGAGATTTCAAGGGCAAAATCCTTAAAAAATAAGTTGTTGGGACTTCCAAATCAGTTTGATATATCCATGGTATCCGAGATATCAGTGTTTGAGATGCCAAAGTTTAACTGTATATATATCCTAGTACACATAAATTATATACAGTCATGTATACATAATGTTATGTATAAAGTAAAGTACATATTATTTTATTTACCATTAGGGAAAAAACAATTTCTCTGGATGTGGAAAAGGGTGATCTTTTTTTATCTTTAGAGACAATATTGGTATATGTAAAAAAGGCTTATAAAAGTAAAATTTTCTGAAATTATATTGTTCAGAATATCTACATTTCATGTCCCTTTCATACTTGCTTCCCTGTGTCTGTATAAGAGTGTTCTTTACATCAATGAGGAAGCTCCTTATAAATTGTGCAAATGTTTTTTATTATTATTATCATTATTAGGCCAAAAAAATAATAGTCTTGTTTCCTGCTACCCGACCTACCCTATTTTTTTGCACCTGACCCTAAAGTTTTTTTCACGTTTTGGGAGAAAAAAAATCGGGAATTTCTGGAATTTCATCGTTCTGTCACTGTAATCGGTTTCCGTGTTAACACAAAACAAGCATTTCATGAAATTCTTGTTTTAAATATGGACTTTCATAAAATACCACTTGAGTTGTGCATAAAAGACATGAAATTCAATTTTAAAAGACAATGTTGACCTGTGACATGTTTAATTTTATCTTGTATTAGTTCATATCCAAAAAATGCTGTCAGAAAAAAATAAAATAAAAATATAAAATAAAAAAATTTTCCTACCTACCTACCCTATTTTTTTCAGGCTGGTAGCAGGAAACAAGACTATTATTTTTTTTGGCCTTATTAAGAATTTCCTGTAAAAGGGGGGAATATTTTACTTATAAATAGTAGAACATAATGACTGGATAACAGCACAAGTGTATACATGTCAGATGTACTAGCATTCAATTTCCTGGTAATTTAGTTGTACATGAAAACATGAATTACCGTAGATGTTACTGATCTGCCGTTTATGTCATGCCCTCTGCATAAACTTTGATCACAATAAATTTTGAATAAGAATGAATTTACTGTGAAACATAAATTCCACTTCCTGTAGCAATATATAATTGTATATAGCTTCTTCATAAACAAGATTTTTGTGTAAATGAGACCCTTATAACAAGTTTTACTGTAGTAAGAAAGATCATTTTGATGCGTATGTACTTATAATTGTTGGATGCATCTGAGAAGATCAATTAAACATAATTTCTACACAATATATTACCCTAAGACATTTGAGAAGACCTTGTGTCTATCACTGTGACAATATCAATTTATTTACTTGAGGGAGGGGGGTGTCTTTAATTATTCATTTCAGACCAATATGCTCCAGATTTTGAGCAAACATTTTTTTCTGTTTTTTTAGTTATTCTGAGATGTTGTTTATTCTCTGAATGTTAGATAACTGTGGTTTTATTTTGTATGTTAAACATATGCTAATTGCATATATTTTCTTGCATAACTAAAATGCTGTGGGTTAATTGATGTCAGTTTTATTCTTGTAATTATGATATAGTTCTGCAAGGCCCATTCAGCATTTTTTAGAGCAACAATTCATTTCTTGATTGAAATAATTTTATGTTCTCAACATTTTTTTCATTTCTGACAACTGTTTTAATACTTTTTATGGATTTTGTTTAAACACTTAACTACAGAAGTTCCACTATAGAATAGCTTATATTTACTTCAATGTCTTTTTACATATGTTATCAAATTCAAAATCAAACCTCAAAAAATGTTCTTTAGAATTTTTTACTTTATAAATGTACAAGCATATGTCTTAGCTAATGTTCATAATCAAAGTCTACATTACTACAGTAAATTTTGCTAAACTTCTGCATATCATACAATGTACATGAATTTTTAGTCAATACATATTTATGGCAAATCCATGATTAATGTTTCCTAAGACAGTAGCAAGATTACTACAGGAAAGTAGTAGGGTGGTACAAGTATTTCTGCCAGAAAGGAAAAGTTAACTATACTAATCATAGGTACTTACTCTCTTCAATCACTAATAACTTGTGGCATCTGTGAATCAATTTCTTTGCCTTAATTTTTAGAAATATCATTTCCAAGAAAAACATCTTAAGCAAGCGATCTACTACAAACTTGTCTCTGATAATAATTAAGACAAATTAATGTAATGGCCGGTGCAGAACAATCTGCACGTTACATGTATTTTACATGGTTGGGATTTTTAATGATTACACTAACAGACAAGGTACTGTACAATGGGATAAATATACTTTTTTATTCTCCTCAAACGCAGACTGATAATTTTTAGCATTATTTCCTTTTACAATAAAAGTATCATGCATATGTTTCCTTAAAGTTGTATTTAACTTTATTCAAATTGTTAAACAGCATATTCAAAATTTAGTCCACTCATATTTGTATTACTATCTGACATCCCCAAGAGATGAAATATAGAGCTAAACAAAGAGCTGGACATACTCCAAGCATGCATGCATGATTATACATAAACTGACTTTAAAGTGTATCAGTACTCAAATGCTTGTACATGTTTGTGAATTTCAAAACTTCAAGATGTTATGATAAAGAGCATAACACGAGGGTTGATACTAGTATGCATGTTATAAATAGTGCTCAGTGTAAGTTGTGGTGTGGCTATTGACATGAGATAAATGATGTAAACTGTATGAAGATATCACAAAAATCCAGACTTTTATTCCCATCATAAAGGTTATGTATGAGTCTTACCATTTGGAAAAGCAAGCACACTGACAACAATAAAGAAGAAGATGATCCAGCACAGGCCAATCCATAGATTGTTGTCTTTATCATCATCATTCCTGAAATATTCAAGACAATCAATGAAGGACTCATCAGAGTGCCATTGAAAATCCCAGTGGACACTTCTAGTGGCAGTTAACACAATGCTTGTAATTATCAATAGGGCCCTAAAGTTAGCCAACACCTTTTTCTCATAGTTTTATGATACTATGACTCACCAAGAAAAATACAAATTATAGTTCAACTTATAACACTCATGTGCTTTGTGCATTATGCATGTATGTAACATTGTACTGATAAGGTATAATAATTGTTCTTGCCACTGATTATAATTTAATTGAAATAATTTCTATATAAATTAATTATAGGCTGAAACAAGCTGCAACTAGTGCACTAGCTGTACAATATATATATACATGTCAACAAATGTAATGTGTGTTACTTATATTAAAATACATGTACTTTTCAGTGGACATGTTTTACAATAATTTTAAATACAAAGAAAATTATTTGATCCATAATATTATATACCTACACAGTTATTTGACAAATACAACCATGAATCCACAGACCCTTTAAGAGAATTATATCAGATATTTTAATTTTATTATGTGCTGGTTTACAAAGTTTCTTCCACAAACTGTATTAAGAAATAAAATCCTTCCTTAAAGCCATCTGGTAACATCTTGTGGATTTTACCCCAGTCATTCATTCCTACCTAAGTTAACCAACTGATCCTCCAAGCCTTAATTCAACAAGGACAATTTAGTGAAGAGGTTTTTACAGGAAGATGATGAAAGCCAATAAATCTATGGATATATTCTATTAAATGAAACTTATCCTAGAGTTATTTATGTCAAAATGAAAGTTTAATCCATATTTATATAGCACGAAATTATGAAACATGGTGAGCTTTGATCAATGTGACTTTAAACATAGAGTCTTACGTAACAATTACATGTTCATTCAGCGTTTTGTGAAAATCAGTTTCTAGGATCTTTTACTAAAAGTATGTGCATGCCCCTTTTCAAATTTTTATTCTTGTGAATTAAAAGTAATAAAAATTATCATAAAACAGCAAAGAGTCACGTGTAAAAAGGTAAACAACGTGTGCGAGCAGTCGACACACGATACCTACCTAGTGAAAGCTGAATATAGAAGTCCTAAAACACACACAGACAACAAAGTTAAGGTGTGAGGTTTGTAAAAAAACGCCAGAGAAATATCATCTACGGATTTTTCATTAATAGAACGAAAATGTTCCATTTCTTCGGCAAGGTCATCTCTTTGTCGATCCATATTGCGTGAGAGGTGTGTTTTTGTTTCGAATTGCAAACTCCGAGCCCGATGTAAATTTCTTCGACCTCATATTGATTGAAGTGAAAATTTAAAAATTTCTGCATCAGCCGATAACGATATTTAAGAATTTGGTATACACATTCTGAGATATTTTATATATATGTGTGTTATGTTTTACAGTGTACCAGCAAATGAAATCCCATGGCTCGTCACGAAATATCTGTATTCTTTATATGTAGCGACTCAAAGTATTTGATAAGGATCAAATTATGCAAGATCAAGAACGCTTAAGTATGTGATGTATCATAACGTAATGTGTATATATTGCATACATTGAAAACTTCCAAATATATCCTTAAAATCGTTTTTAATGATACATAATAATAATTTTTTTTTTATTTTAGTATCAAATATTGACTCTAATTTATGTGGATCTATTTGAACGTACTCACGTACTCTTCATTTTGAAGATCATATATATATATATATATATATATATATATATATATATATATATATATATATATATATATATATATATATATATATATATATATATATATATATATATATATATATATATATATATTAAACGAGTCCATGGGTCATAAAAACGAGAGATGACTGACTGAAAACACTATGCGAAATTTTCTTCGTCCTAAAAATAAAATTCATAGGAAAAAATGAGGAAAAATATTTTGCACATTTCACGTCTTCCAAACTCATCGGTTTGAAGACAAGTTCATTTTTCAAGTAAAAGGGTCGGTTGCAGCTGGAAAATACTTGACAAGCATCAAAGAAAGAAAGAAACATGCATACATACATGTACATACAATGTAACGTACATATATACACATAAAAATACAAAACAAGCAAAACAAAACACAAACAAACAAACAAAAACAAACAAACAAACAAAGTTTACAAACAAAAACGAATAAACAAAATATTGTATACATGTAAACAAAACAAAAACCAACAACAACGACAAATAAACATAAAGAAAACTGCATGCCCAAATTCAAACAAGAGACCGAACCTTGTAAAGGATCCATAGAATTATATAATATTGATAGTGGAAGATATCTTGCTAACATAAATAAGAGAAAAATTTAATTCTAAAATATTTTATTCCATTCATGATGATTTGGAGGGGGAGGGGCATTATATATGGTCCTCATATCAGTGTCCAAATGATTATTTAATTGAACATGACTATGAATGAATACCTTAATTGCCATCGGGCAAGTTAAAAGTATTTACAAAGTTCCATGGGTATGACATAATATAATTATATAGAAGAAGGCAATGTAACAGCAGTGAAATGGTAGGGAATCAAGGCCAAAAACTCCCTTGAATGTAATCTACAAATATTTTCCCACTACTTACTATGTCATTAACTACATATCTTAAACATTAGCATAAAAACTACTCTGGTACACTGGGTATAATCATTGCACTGTAGCTTGACCTCTCCTGATCAGTTTAAAGAGAACATTTAAAAGTACATATACATATAAGGTATTTTTTGTCTAATATTTATTTATTTTAATTTTTTACAAGTCTACGTGACCATTAACAAGTATATTACGATATTTTTTTTTCTATATAATAAAAAGTCCTGTATTATTCTTTTATTCGAGTGACCTATCAAATATAATTTAAAGTTATTTATTTATAAGTAAATAATCAAAGGGGGATAAATTCTATCAAACAGCAAAATCAATCGAGCCATCCCTAGCACCAGACCCCTGACTTAGGGTCATGAATTTCATAAGCCTGGTAGAAACACCCTTATTCCTTACAACCCTCTACTTGGCCTGTTCATTCAAAGAAGAGTTATAGCGAAGGAAATTTTTAAAGAATTAATGGATTTTCAAAATATAGACAATGGGACCCCGCCTTAACACCAGAACCCCAGACCCAGGGAGTTGAAATTCACAAATTGGGTTGAGGGATCACATAACGATGAACTTACCTTGTATGTTAAATACCCAAGAACAGAGAAGAAGATTTTCAAACATGCAAAGCATTTTCGCTGTATGATCAAATGAGCCCAGGCGTAACACCGGAATCTCTGGTCTAGGGTCCATAAATTTCACAATTTTGAAAGTAGATTTTTCAAAAATTTAAGAATTTTCTCTCCATGATCAATAGAGCCCCACCTTAACATAAGAACCCCTGACGTGGGGCTATGAATTTCACAAGTGTGGTAGAGAGCTCATTGCTTATTTTGATAATGCTAACAGTTCCACTGCTTGATGTCCAGGAGTAAAGAAAAATGTTGAAGATTGCATTTATGGTGATGGTATTTAGCCCAATCCTTAGGTCCCGTGTTGGGGTTCTTTAGACATGAAATTCACAATCTTGTTCCTTTCAATCCAAAGATGCTATACATGTATACCATAATTGGTTGAAATCGGTTTTGGTGGTAAAAGAGAAGATGCAAGCGTTCAAAAGTTTACAACTGACGCACGACGGACGGCGACGAACAAGAACAGGTAGCAATAGTTCACCATAGGGACCTTAGTTATGGTGAAAAATACGCTTTTGTTGTTGTTATTGTTGTTTTTTGTTTGTTGTCTCTTGTTTTTGTATGTTTTTTTCTTGTATTTTGGGGGGGGGGGGGGTGAGGTTATTTATTTGTTTTTTTTTTTGGGGGGGGGGGTATAATGACACATCTTCTAGTTTTACCATACATGTACATTTATTTTGAGACATGGCGACAACTCTTGAAGGCTTGTAAAAAGTATTATTAGTATAAAACTTTTATGTTTAAATTAATAAAGTTATTACTGTAATCAATGTGTCATGATGTACATTTTGAATTTACTAGGAATGCAAAATTTACAACATGTCATGTTGTAAATTTTGCATTTACCTCCCCCTAGTAAATTCAAAATTTACGGCATGACAAATATGAGAGAATCGTCTCTATTATATTTAAAACTATTACTAACGTGGTGATGAAAATTTGCCTTTACAGATAAATAACAGTATTTTTGCTGCTGTTCATAAATTTATTGACGAAACGTGTAGATTTTCTTAGTTGATATGTTAAATTTTAGTTGTATCATTTATATTATTTTTCTTTAATTTGCATGACATATTGTATTATATAAGGAGAGGAAATAGTAAGTTATTTTAGAACTTGTTTCCAATCCTTTTGAGTTAATCAATAAAATATGTTCAAAACAAAGACAGAGAATCGTGTAATTAAGAAGGTTTATACATGTATACACTGTATTTGAAGCTCTTGCGCTAAGATGTACAATGTAATACAATGTACATGTAAATATATTAGACATACTCACATACCTCTTCGCACTTAGTAGAATGTTGTAAATATAAATAAATAAAACTGATCATCTATTTTTGACAAAGCTTTATAGATAATAATGTATCATATAATAAATTGTGCCACGCAAGATTGTCTTCTGTCCTCGAGAGATCCCGACTGTAATTAACAAAGATCACCAACAAAATGGCCATTAAAACTCATTCATTATTGGATATATGTATTCCGGTAAATTATATTGTTACATGATGGGGTTAAGCCGGGATCACTCACATGGCAGACGAAAGACACACACCACAGGGACTAACACTTTCGAGAATTTTTCACTCATATGGAGACGCCACCATTGAGCAGTGAGGGATCTTTTTCGTGCCAGCACCTACTGCGACACGGACCTCGGTTTATACGGTATCACCCGAAGGACCGGTCTCCACGTCCCACAGTGGGATTCGAACCCGCGACGTACATGTATATAAGGATCAACTCCTTACTCCGCGACTCTAGAGCAAATTTACTCTGTGTTTTAATCTGATCCCATTTTTTTAAAGTTACTGGTGATCAATTTTTAAAGGCAATGGTATGGTCCAAATTTCAACAGTTCAAAATATTTAAATTTAAGTTTTAAAATAGAGCGTTGCTATTGAAATTATAGGAAAAACATGTTTAAAAACTTGAGAAATATTTTGCTACCTTGGATTCGTACCCTTGTCTGTACATGTAGATTCCCTAAACATTTGACCGATATTATGAGTAATTAACCTGACTTTCAATTTCTGACTAGGTAGTACCACACAATCTCTAATTGGATGCATGATATTACTATAAAATCAACAAATCTGAACAATTTCTCTTCTTGGTAGCCATAGCAACAGTGCTATTCTCTTCATCAAACTTTATCAATATATGATATTCAACTTTAGTTCTATAAGTACAATTCAAGCTATAAGTCAAATAATATGTTTCTTGATTGAATGGTAACTAAATTTCTAAATCAGCAAAAAACTATCGCTATAAACCACTGATACGTTGTTTTCATGGTTACACCACTATGTAGCAATTAATCCCATTTTTAGCTCTACTGGTCAGAGACCAGAAGAGCTTATGCGATAGTAAGGTGTCTGTCGTCCGTCTATCTGTCTGTCTGTCTGTCTGTCCGTCTGTCTGTAAACAATTTTTCAAAACGCTACTCCTCCTACAGTTTTGGTCTGATTTCAATATAACTTGGCACACAAGTAGACTACACTAAGATACATAAATTAGTGCATCGGTTTTTGATTTGGATGAACGGTGTTGCCATGGTTACTAAAAATAGAAATTTCTGTGAAATTCTTATAAAACGCTACTCCTCCTACAGTTTTGGTCTGATTTCAATATAACTTGGCACACAAGTAGACTACACTAAGATACATAATTTAGTGCATCGGTTTTTGATTTCAATGAACGGTGTCGTCATGGTTACTAAAAATAGAATTTTCTGTGAAATTCCTATAAAACGCTACTCCTCCTACAGTTTTGGTCTGATTTCAGTATAACTTGGCACACAAGTAGACTACACTAAGATACATAATTTAGTGCATCGGTTTTTGATTTCGATGAATGGTGTTGCCATGGTTACTAAAAATAGAAATTTCTGTGAAATTCCTTTAAAACGTTACCTCTCCTACAGTTTTGGTCTGATTACAGTCTAATTTGGCACACAATAAGAATACACTAAGATACATAATATGTATTTTGGTTTTTGATTTCAGTGAATGGTGTTGTCATGGTTACTAAAAATAGAAATTTCTGTGAAATACTTTCAAAAAGCTACTCCTCCTACAGTTTTCGTTTGATTTCAATTTAATTTGGCACAGAAGTAGACTACATTAAGATACATAATTCTATTTATTGTTTCTTGTTGCAAAGTTTTAAATCCAAGTGCTACTTTTCCTTTGTTATACGTACAGACCAGTAGAGCTACAGTCTCATCAGAGACTTCTGGTTTATGCTGTCACTTTGAAGTGAAAGTCACGGGTATTTCGGATGAGACCTTAAAAACCGAGGCCCCTGTCACGCCATGCGTTGGCACGATAAAGATCCCTTACTGCTCAATGACCCTGAGCAAAGGTCTGAATTTGAAGCCCTGCACCGGTACATGGTGACGTCTTTATATGTACATGTGAAAAATGGGACGTAGAACAACATTCAATCAATATAAATCTTATGCTGTGTAAATAAGGTCATAACAATGCATATTTGCCGTCTTGAATTTCAATATTTTTCCTTAAGAAAGCAACATTAACCAAAACTTGGCAACAATTTTTTGTGTGGCTACACTCTATTACCATGGCAACAATGAAAGTTTATTTTTATAATGATATTGCCAATAACATATTTCTTGAGGTCAATTTTTTTTCTTGTACTGTTGATTGAGTTTGATCATGTTAGACCTATCATTAGAAAATATTAAGCGTTTTTCAGTTTTTTATCCCCCGCTTTCATTGAAAGTGGGAGATATTAATTAATTATCTGTCTGTCTGTCTGTGATTCTGTCTCTTTGTAACACCTTCGTTTCTTGACTATATCTCGAAAAGCTTTTGAACTTTTGCAATGAAATATTATATCACAACCGCCTATGGCCTAAAGAAGAGCCTTCTGATTTTGAAGTCAAAAGGTCAAAGGCCAGAAATTCATGCATTCTGTATGTGTGTAACACTTTTGTTTCCAGAAGATATCTCAAAAAGTCTTAGAGCTTTTACATTGAAATTTCATATCACAACTTTCTAAGGTCTAAAGATGACCCTATTAATTTTGAGGTCAGAAGGTCAAGGTCATAAAATCATACATTGCAAGGAACAATTTCCAGATGATTATTTCAGTTTTATTTGAGCTTTATTCAATGAAATTTGTGTCCCAATTCACTGTGGTCTAAAAATGACTATTGTTGATTTTGATATGAAAAGGTCAAAGGTCAAGATAAGAAATTAATACATTCTGTATGTATGTAATACTTTCGTTTGCGGACAATATCTCAAAAAGCCTTTTAGATTTTGCAATGAAATTTTTTATAACAAAATTCTCAATGACCTTTAAAAGATCCCTCCTAATTTTTAGGTCAAAAAGTGAAATGTCAAGGTCAGAAATTTATTTATTGCCGGAAATGGTTTACAGATGATTACTTTAGTTTTCTTTGAGCCTTTTCAGTTAAGTTATGTATCATAACTCCTGGTGTCTTTAAAAAGACTCCTATATATTATTAGGTCAAAAGGTCAAAAGTCAAGTTCAGAAATTCATACAATGCAAAAACTATCTCCGGATGATAATAGTTTTCCTTGTTTTTTTAAAATACAGTTCTATATCATAACCCTCAATGAATTAAAGAAGACTCCTTTGATTGCTAAGGTCAAAAGATCTTGGTGAAAAATTCATATCTTGCATAAAATGGTTTAGTGGTAATAACTAGTTCTCTGCGACATCCAGTTGAAAAAGAGATGGTCATTCTTATACAATTTATTTGAAAGATGACCAGATTTATGTGACTTATAAAGAAACATTGCAATTTTTACTTTATGTTATTATGCCCCCGTATCGAAGATTCGGGGGTTTATAGTTTTTGCCCTGTCCGTCTGTCTGTCTGTCTGTCTGTCTGTCTGTTTGTACACAAAAACTTTAACCTTGCCCATAACTTTTGATTGGTTGGAGCTATGGCTTTCATATTTCACATGTGTATTTCTTGTGACAAGACCTTTCTTTGGGTACCACCATATTTGACCTTTTGACCTTGGAGTTTGACCCAGTTTGGCAAATTTTTTCCAATCTTTAACCTTGGCCATAACGTTTGAACGGTTAGTGCTAGGGCTTTCACACTTCACGTGTGTAATCCTTGTGACAAGACCTTCCTTTGGATACTAACAACTTTGACTCTTTGACCTTGACCTACGTTTGAAAAAACTTTAACCTTGGCCATAATTTTGAACGGTTGGTGCTTGGGCTTTCATATTTCACATGTAAACTTCTTGTGACAAGACCTTTCTTTGGATACCAACAACTTTTACCCTTTGACCTTGACCGTAGAGTTCGACCTACATTTGAAAAAAACTTTAACCGTGGCCATAACTTTTGAATGATTGGTGCTTCGGCTTTCATATTTCACCTGTGTATTTCTTGGGAGAAGGCCTTTCCTTGGGCACCATTAATTTTGACCATTTGACCTTGACCTTGATGTTTGACATACTTTTGAAAAAAACGTTAACCTTTTCCATATCTATTCAATGGTTGATGCTGGAGCTTTCATATTCACAGGTACACTGTATATTCCTCGAGACAAGACCTTACTTTGGGTACCAACATATTTGATTTGCATTTGAGAAAGCTTAACCTTTGATATAAGTTGCCATTAGGGGGCATCATTGTTTCACAAACACATCTTGTTTTTCCTATAACCATATTACTAAACATTGTATACATGTATATATATGGAATATAGATATTTTTCTACTATATTTATCATGGTGAAACTGTAATGGAATGGGTAAGAGGAAAGAATCAGTGAGTAAATGTTAAATAAAATCCGCAATGTTTATAAGTATACTTATATTGTCATCTGTATGTTGAAAGGCGGAAAATGAAAATGAAAAAAAAACTCTCGTTCTCTTTGGGAATCTGCAATGAAATTTTATACCTTTAGTCAATATGAAATAGAAAAGACCCCTATGATTTGAAGTAAAAATGTCAAAGACCAAGATAAGAAATTAATATATTGTATACAGGGTTTTCATATGATAATTTTAGTTCTCTGTTTTTGCAATAAAACTTAAGGTGATGAATTTCTTCAACCTATGAAGGACTCATATTGACTTTAAGGCCAAAAGCTGAAAGGTCAAGCTTGACCTTTTTTCTTTCTCTATCTGCATATTTTTTTCAGTTCTTCCACCCTCTTATCTTTTTTCAGTCTAAATGAAGATTCACATTAGCTGAAAAGTTTAATTTTTTAAAAACTTTTTCGGCTTACCATGGCAACCAACATACATAGCAACTAAATTTTATTTATGTTTCTTTCTGGGGTGAATTTTTAATAATGGGCAAGGTTTCATCAAAATCGGTGACCGTGCGGGCCCGAAAGTTGAAGTGATTACAGAGAATAGTTCTTAATCTCTTTAACATCTGCCAAATACAAACTTTGCCTTCAGATTCAATTTACTTGAGGATCTTAACGAATCCAGTTTATGACACATTCTATCCTTTCGTGACGGAAGTATCGACTAGATGCTTCTTGGACAAATTACAGAAATTATTTATACAAGTTAGTAATCCTATAAAAAAAAAGAAAATTGAAATTTTTGAAAATGATCAAGATAGATATTTGATACTTTATACAATGGAGGTTTGGCATGGACAATTGTTTTGTCTGAGAGTGAATCCATCATATTTCTAAAGACTAATGAAATAATGATCAAACTTTAAAAAGACGGGTTATTTATACACTACTCCATGTTTATCCTTGGAATTCTGACTACAAATTTAATGGCTTTTTTCTTGTGATTTTAAATTTTGGATTCATTTACATTTATTTCAATAACACATTTTTAAAATTTCAAGTTTCATTTCTGTTCAGTCTCTTTGAAACATGCAATATTTAACTTGAATTAGGATGTCTATATAATCACGAAATATTTATAATTAATTTATTTGTTACTTTTGGTTTTGTGTATAAAATATTTTTGTCTAGTAATACTAATAATAAATTTTATAGCATTTCCCAAACATATGTAATGAAAATATTTCTTTCAAATCAGAAAGAAATCTGCTACATCGGTTTCCCGTAAGACGAAGTTCCTCTTGGGATTTTTTTTTTCTTGGATAACCTACTAATGAATTTTTGAAGTACATGTATATATAAACTGTCTATTTGAATGAGCCAGAACGGATACTGATCTCTCCACAATCTGTGGTGGAGATATCTGTGTATAGCCCATGTGGATATGATCGACCTGGTTGATATAATCAGTAACTGTAGCTTGGATAGATTGATTGATGGTATGTTGTTTTACGTCCCATTTGATAATTTTTTACTGTTATAGAGACGTCACAATATACCGGTGAAGGGCTTCAAATTTTGACCTATACTCGGCATTCAGGGCCATTGAGCAGTGATGGATCTTTATCATGCCAACTCCTTCCACACGGGACCTTTTTTTAAGGTCTCACCCGAAAGACCCGTGCCTTCACTTCTAGTGCCGGGCACTTGGCGAAGGAACATTGCGTACTTAGGTTTACGACCTAGGTTTGACGAGGCGCAGTGAATGAGAATCAAACATAGGCCTCCCTCTCGAAGCGAACGCCCTACCACTAGGCCACCGTGACCGGTTCCTTGTATAGGAAAACAGGCGAAACTTTCTACGAATGGACCCAAATTGTATGATACGAAAACAACTCCACATATAGTACTATTACTTTCTATTTGATTGCAGTGTGCGGTCTGAATGTCAATTATACAGCCCCGTCTGAAGGCAGATAAAATATGCCACAATATTGAAAGCTGCCGTATTTTCTTTCATCAAAGAAAACTGTTAAACTCATAAAAATGTTTTACAATGCATACACTAATAAAGTGTGCGCTGATTAAATAAATACAACCTCACTGACACGTCATTTTGACTTTTTGTGAAACAATCCTGTGAAAATGAGTTTCAAGCTGAATGTTGGAGTTCTCTCGGAAAAACAAAGTTATAACGAAAGCGCGGGGACTCGGTTTCAGGCTGGTGTTTTGTTTTTTTGTGTGTGTGTGTGTGTGTGTATCGTGTTTTCTTCTGCGTCTCTGATTACGATTATTAAAATTCAAACCGAAAATTGCTGTTATTAGCAGTTTTTAAAAATATCGTATTTCCATGTACATTAAAAAAAACCTAACCTTTCCATGCCAAAAAAGAGAACATTTCTGTTAAAAATGAAAATACGTATAAAAATAACTCCTTTTTATTACATTGTAGTTGCTGTATGATAAAAAAAAATAGTGTCGATTTCATTCATTGTCTTCATATTTTTTCTTTTCTCTCTTTTTTTAAAAATGAAAATCTTGTAGAACTGTTAAATCTCATACGTGATGTATTGGTTTGGGTTGCAAGGACTGCATATGTATACATATCAGCCTGGATAGCTCTGTGGTTAGCGCACCTGTCTATAGAAATGCTGTCCTAGGTTCGATTCCCGCTCCTTCCATAATTTTCCCCCCTTCTCTATTTGGTGCCGTGACCAGGATTTGAGAATGTAGTGGTTAAAGTTGTATGGACTGGGCGTATCGGCCTGGATGGCTCAATGATTGGTAGAACCTGACTAGTAATACAGGGGTCCTGAAGTCGATTCCCGGTCCAGCCATAAATTTTCTCATTACCTGTTACATTAGGGGCCGTATACTTAGGATTATAGAATGTATTGGTTTTTGTTGTTTGTGGACCAGGAATGTCGTCCTTAGTGGCGGTATTTTGAACAATTGACTAGTAATACAGGGGTCCTACGTTCGATTCCCAGTCCATCCAAATTTTCTCCTTTTTCTATTACAGTAAATCAGATCAGCAGCAAATTATCTCCCTGTCGTTCAACAGCATTTCAACCAATGAAATTGACGAAAAATGTTCACATCCAGTCACAAAGGAGAGATAGTGCATAATCCGAAGACTGTACATAAAATACTTCATCTCTATATACCGTCTGCTAAAGCAGGCGATATTAAGACTCGTGTCTAAGATTTTAAAAGGTGTGTTAAGTGAAGGTTATTTCTTGAAGGCCAAGGTCAGTAGGCGATGAGACAGTTAAATGTCCAGGTTGTATCTTCGGAAAACTTGACTGGTTTCAGTATATTGTTACAATTTAAGATGAATCATTACTTTGACTTCATCTTTTTTCTAAAAAAAAAAGGCTGCAGAGTTTGAAATAATTGGGATGAAGATAGCTGGATTTTCACGCATTTAAAACAGTGGGGATTTATTGCATACAACTAAACTGCATGAAAAACGAGATGACTTCAACTTTTCCATCGGCAACTATCCTTATATATGTAGTAACATTCCATTATTAACTGCATGTAGTGTTCACGTTCATGTCTTCCTACTTATTCGATATGCAAGAACATGCTCTGAGTATGATCAATTTTTAAACTAAAAGGGCTACTGACACTTAAGTTAATGTTACAGGAATTTCAACAACCTTTTAAAGTCAGCATTTCGAACATTCATCGGTCGCTATAATGACCTTGTTTGCAAATAGAGCTTATCATTGGGTCTTTTTTTGACTGACAAGTTTGATACTTATTGTTAGGTCATTGTTTTCATACTACGGATTACTTTGTCTACCTGATTAATAGGTAGGGTGTGACCAGTTGATAAGGGATGCTTACTCCTCCTAGACACCTGATTCCACCTCTGTAGTTTCAGGGGTCCGTGTTTTATGCCCAATTCACAAATTTATATTGTTTTTAAGAATTTTGAGATTGTTCAAAGTTCTCATCCTCACGTTTTTCATACAAAACGTGCACACTATTCGAGAGTAATAACATTTTAAAGCTGTCATCTCAAAATGTTCTTTAACAGCGACAATTACTAATTTGGGCTGTTATTTAGTATCCAGGAATATCACTTATTGTGTCTTATTGTGTCATTGGTTTGGTACTTAAATCCTGTTGTTTTGAGGTTTACTTCAAGTGTACCCATGTATATCAAAAAACTTTAAATTAAAGGGAGAATGATTTACAACATTTTACTCAGAAAAAAAGGATTGAATGTCCAGCGATCATACAGTGAAAACGATAAGAAAATGATATTTCTTCGGGAAGGTGGGGTGGGATAAAAACCAGACAGTGAAAAAAAATCTCATTTTGAGTTAAGGAAAATAGAGCAGTCACTCTTTCTTTCTTTTCCTTCAGAAAAAGGTGATTGATACATAATAAAATTGTGGTCAGTGTTCCTTTTGTTTCCTGAAATTGAAGGAGCTTTAAAAATGCTAGTTAATGTGGACAAGAAAAGTGAATATGGAGGATAATACTGTTTATGTTCTATTGATGTACTTCACATTTGAAACTTCAAATGATAATAGAAAAACAATTAATACAGAATTTATATATTTTGCAATATTTGCAAGATGCATGCAAAACATGTATATACGAATCTGCCCCGATAAGGTAGAAAACAAGGTAGATTTCTGTAAGATTTTCATCTCCTCTCTTTGACCTTTAAGACGAAAATAGCCAGTCTTACATAGCACTGGGTAGAACGCTATATCGTGTACGCAACTCCAGATAAGTTCACTTATTTATGACAAATGGTGTCTAGACCTTTTTTCAGTGTGGTTTGCGCGCCCATTCAGTACAGAGATATGAGGAAAGCTTTATATCCACAGGTATATTTTAAATATCACAGCTTCATATAAATTCTAAAAAAAGTTATGCATTTCCTAAATTATGTTCTTTTTAAAAATCAACGTACTTTCAAAATAAGATCTAATAAATTTGAAAACATGCAAGTGTAACGAACATTCAGCATCGAAAGAAAAATCGAATTCTGTCCAAATTTTTAAATCTCTGTCGAATTTTGTTTCCTTGGAACAATGAATATCTTTTAAAATACTTAATATCAATGTTCAAATTTTCCCTTTTTATCTCTTTCATTCAAATTACTTTGAATTAAATCTGCTTCGGTTAACTTTATTTTTGTGAAATCATTTACGCTGCGACAAAACTCCCTTCCTCAATACTGCTGCTGACTGATTTTTATTTGGAACAAATTTATCTAATTATTCCTAAATTTAAAAAAAAAATTATCAGATCTAATTTCAATATTTTAATTAAAAAAAAATCAAGAATATATTTTATATAAATTGAATATAATTAAATGTCAAACATGGTGTTGCTTCTTGGTTTAAAAGGGTGTTTCATGATTTCTTGCCGTGTTCTCAAATTTGGTTTTAAATAGTACTTAATGTATTTCTAATGATTTTTTTTTTTCTGATTTGGATACTACTTTGCATCATTCTGACCACAGTTAATTTTGTTAATGGCAATCTCAGTATACAGCCGCACAACTTCAATATTTTTGATCTGTAGACAGAGACATCGAAATTTTAGCCTGTTTTTATAACATCAAAAATGAAATCATAACATTTTAAAAAATGCTATTTTTCAAGATATAAAATTGTTTCTTTTCTTCTTTATAATACTGTTTTATTTATTTTTTTTAAATATGATTAAAATTAAGGATTTTACAGACAACTGTAATGGGGATAGATTTTATGAAATACTCTGTACCATATTGATGTTAAAGACAGTACCCAGAAATTATACAATATGTGACCTTTAGTACATATAACAAGAAAAAGAATTTTAGACCATTTGTTAAAAAAAAAAAACAGTACATATTGTTGTTTTAAAGGTGCTTGGACACAGATTTGAAGTTAATATTTTCTCAAGTTTTCGGTATAATATCATGACTTATATGTTGCTATAGCATTTCAAACGGAAATAAAATTTAAAAAAACCTTATTTTATCTGGAAATTATTGAAACTACAAATTTCGGGACGCGTTTGTTTGATACATCGTAGCACTTTCATAAAGCAAACTTTATCCTTAATACTTAAGAAAATTAAAATTTTTGTTGTGTATTAATGAAATATATTCAAACTATAATCCGGATAATTCAGAGTAAAAATGTAAGAAAGCAAAACCAACTCACCAGTATTGTCAGTCCATGCTCAGTGATGTGTGCAGAGTTTAACAAATTGAACACACCCCGTGAAATATAAACATTAACAATAACAGAGCTCGTGCCCTGTTTACAAAAACAGTTTACGTTTCACGGGTTTGTTCAATTTGTTCAACTCTGCACACATCACTGAGCACGGACTGACAATACTGGTGAGTTGGTTTTTCTTTTTCACATTTCTACTCTTTATTTTCTGGATTATAGTTTAATATTTTTCATTAATGCACAACAAAATTCCTACTTTTCTTAAGTATTAAAGATAAAGTTTGCTTTGTGAAAGTGCATAGATGTGTCAATCAAACGCGTCCCGAAATTTGTAGTTTCAATAATTTCCAGATAATTTTTTTTTTATTATTATTATTTTTATTTCCGTGTAAGTCATGATATTATACCGAAAATTTTAAAAAATATTAACTTCAAATCTGTGTCCAAGCACCTTTAATGTCTATATTTGTTTATCATGTTACTTTATCAGTTAAAATACAAATTTAATTACAAGATTTTGTACATGTGCGTGTAAGCAATGTGAGTTTCAATCCTGTTGATTTCGTTGTTAAATTGAAATACTGTTCTAATGACAGAAAAAATGAAGGTTTATAAGTTTGTGTTGGAAATTAAAACTATTAAAAAGCAAAATTGCAATTATCGTCGTCCTTTACAAAAATGATTTTTTATGTATTTCTACACATTCTTTAGTGCAGAAATCTCTCTTTTCTTCAGATAAAATTTCTCATTCGGTAGAGCACTCGCTCCGTGATCGGGAGGTCGTGAGTTCAAATCTCGGCCGCGACTGACATAAGTCGATAAAAAATGGGTAGCATCTGTTCCTTCGTAATGCGCTCGGCACTTTAAGTGAAAGTTGCGGGTCCTTTGGATGAGACCTTAAAACTGCCGTGTCACGGCAGGCGTTGGCACGATAAAGAACCCTCACTGCTCAATGGCCCTAAGAGCCGAGTAAAGGTCAAAATTTAAAGCCCTTCACCGTTATATGGTATATGGTCTATATGAGTGAAAAATTCTCGAATGGGACGTAAAACAACATACAATCAATTAATCAATCAGATAAAATTTAATGCGTGCAAATGTAGTTTGTCTTATTGATGATAATGATTCAAGCTACATGTAGAATTATCATTATAAGCGCATATTTACAGCAATATAAATTACAAAAAGTGAAACTCTCTCTCTTTCCCCCCGATTTTTTAAGTGTTGAATTAAGGAATAACTGTCTAATTTTTTGGATTCATGATGTGATCAATCGAGTGGCTTGCGTGATAATTTGCATAAACGCCGAAGGCGTTTATGCATAAAATTATCACGCAAGCCAATCGATTGATCATCGCCATGAATCCAAAAAATCTGACAGTTATTCCTTATATTTACATGCTCCTGATTCTGCAAATTCCCGTGCTAATAGCCCCGCTTCTGTCTCTATTTGTCCCGCCCCGCACGTGATTTTTTTTTAACCGCGCCTATCGATGAACCAGTAGATTTATGTAGAAATAAAGTATTTTTACAATTTGTAATTTTATCTCGGACAAGACATTGGAAATGTAAATATAATGATTAAAAGGATGACTGCACTTTAGGACATGCGAAATTTGCGACAAAATAAACTTTCAAAACAAGCATTTTTCTTTTCATTGCAAGAATGGCCAACATCCAATCTACAACTTTATTTAATTACGGTTAATAAAAGTGTGTATTTACGAAGTTCGAATCTGTTTTCAAAGGCAGGGGTCATCACAATTTCTTGAATCTCCATTCGATAATGAGGACACCCACTTTTTTAATGACTTTATACATAGTCAGCGCATGTTTGTCTATTGTTCTACGTTTAACAGTAGTTGTATATTTGCATAAATAATAATGTGTCAAAAGGAGATTAATAGACAAACATTTGCTCAAGGTTAAAAAGAGAAAAAACTGCTTCTTCTTACATTCGCTCCATGTGTTGTAACCAAGGCTTGTGACATGTTGAATATTATAATTCACCACGTGATTTCTTGCCTCAGGTAACTTTGTGAATACTAAATTCCGTCACATGACTTGTAAGGTAGCATGTTTTGTGCTTACTAGGACATTGTGTTCGAACACGAAGTCATCTGGCACTGATATAAAATCTGCTTTAATTACATTGACGTGCTCCTATTGTTAATTTCGTTTTGAAACCTTTGTCAGTAGTGTATTTGTGCCATACAGAATGGAGAGGGAGATTGGAAAGAGTGATCACGTTCTTTTTTTCAAACATGTCATTGTTATTTATCAAGTCTAATTTTAGACCCATTCTTACAATGTTACAAATGTCTCCACCTCTCATGCACATCTAATGTTCAATCAAGGGCATGTAAGTGTAAATTCACTATATTTGAAAAGCAGTAAGGACAGAAACATTGAATCATTTTATTATATCACAGTATAAAATGATTTTAAGATTTAAATTTGGTTCCAAATTGACAGGATTCTTTCATAAAATTGAAATAAGATTTAGATGTGAAAGCAACAGAAGCAACCGAAAAAGATCCAAAAACAGGCGTTTAGTGCAGTCTTCCTTTCTTACGGCAAAGATATTAAAGTACGTGTTAAATTTATTCACACCTAGTATTTGGCATCCGAGTGTGTGTATTGCCTCAATTTTTTTTCAAGTAGATTTCCATTTCCTTTTTTCTTAAAACAGTTTAATTAGCAAGATTTACACATTCGATATGTTTTATTTAAACTTTGGAATGATTAAGATAAATTGATATTTTTTTTAGGAAAGGGGGAGAGGGGAAAGTCCGGTACCTAATGCAGACCGGAGAGGCCGGGCTGTCTGTAACATTTAAGTTGAAGTGTTGAAGCAGGAGATTTTGAGGGAAGGCGTTATTGAGAATAAGAGAAATAAAAGAATGAGAACAAAATGTTCCCATTTATGAAAAATGCAGTACATTTTCTTCTGTCGTATTCATATGTAAAATATTTGTTTTCTGATCTAACATGCAAGTTTACTTATATATATATGGTAAAAGTGACAGCTCTATTTTTCAGAACATTACATTATATTTAAAAAAAAAAAAAGAAAAAGAAAGAAAAACACTTGCCTAATATCTGTTTTTAATTTTAATCAAATACATGTACAGTATAGGTTTTAACAATACATGTACGTGATACTTTTCTGATTTTTCATTCAGTGAATGAAATAATAGCAACAAAAGACAGTCTCTTTTTTCGTCAAAAAATAAATGATTTTCTAGAAAAGTCGAGCGATATGTTGAATTTACCAGAAGCTCGGCTGTCACCGTAGATAGTCACTCAATATACCTTAAAAGTTAAAACGTGTCTTTTTCACTTCAGAATATTCTGTTGGATTTGAGGGACAAAATAGAGAATACAATTTACACAGCTCCAGCTTTGTATGTAATGTTTTGAAAAAAAAAATGATTTATTTGATCATTCAACTATAAATTTAATTTATTTTATTATTTTTTCAACAGATCCTTAAATATTTATGGGCCCTTGCTTTAACTCGCACTTTCCAACCATGTTTGTCACAAGTGCCATTAGCAAATCCAGGACTCTCATCTTTTAACAGTGGTTTTCTAAACGATGGGTTTGTTTCTGGAATCGGCAGTGTAGGTGGCAGTACATTAGGTATTCCAAGTTTCAGTACATCTGGAGCAGGAACAGGACTTCCCATTGCAACGGGAGGATTTACTACAGTAGGTGGGCCTGGCGTGGGACTAGTGGATGGAAGTCTTGGGACAGGTGGTGTAATTGGTGGAGGTGATCTAGGAACCGGTGGATTAGGAGGAACTACATTTGTTGGAGGACCTGGCAGTGGTTTAGGAGGGGCTGGCGGGGTAGTGCCTTCCTTCGTCGGAGGAGTCGATGGATTTGGAGGAGCTGGTGATGGTTTCACTTTTGTTGGCAGTGGAGGAGGTGCTGGAGCTCCCGGAGCCGGTGCCACATTTTTTGGAGGTAGTGGTTTAGGAACTGGCGGCGGATTGCCTTCTTTTGGGGGAGGAGTTGATGGATTTGGAGGACCTGGAGGTGGATTCACTTTCGTTGGCGGTGGAGGAGCTGTTGGGGCTCCTGGGGACGGTGCTGCATTTGTCGGAGGTGGTGGCTTAGGAGGAGCTGGAGGCGGATTTCCTTCTTTTGGCGGAGGAGTTGATGGATTTGGTGGACCTGGCGATGGATTTACATTCGTTGGGGGAGGAGGTGGTGTTGGGGCTCCTGGTGCCCCTGTACAAGTTATTGATGCTGGAACGGGGGGATTTGGTGGAACTGGTGGATTAGGAGGAGTTGATTTTGTTGGCAGTGGAGATGGCTTTGGAGGACCTGGCACCATTATCAACGGAGGTGCCACTGGTTTTGGAGGACCTGGAGGAGGTGGAGCAGTACCAGGTATTGCAGTTGGAGGTGGTCCTGGAATAGGAGGCCTAGGGGACGTCACTATTCTAAACGGTCAAGGAGGAGCTTTGGGCACAGGTGGGACTTTTGTAGGACCGGATCCCTTTCCTGAAGGTGGAGTTGGTCTAGGCACAGGGGGGACTATAGGCGCAGGCGGTACAGGGTTACCAGCCGGTAGCTTTGTAGGTCCAGAACCAATAATACCCACCACATCTGTAGTAACAGTTTCTCCAGGAGGCATCGGAGGTGGATTAGGAGTAGGAGGGAGTCTTGGTGGAATTACCAGTGGACTTGGAGGGGGAGGGGGATTAGGTGGATTTGGTAGTCTCGGTGGAATCGGAGGACTGGGTGGTGGGGGTGGACTTGGAGGTGGGAGTCTGGGAATTAACAATTTTGGAGGTGGGGTATTTGGTGGTGGACTAGGAGGCGGGGGATTAGGTGGTGGGTTGGGAGGTGGAGGATTAGGTGGTGGGCTGGGAGGTGGGGGGTTAGGTGGTGGGCTAGGAGGTGGAGGATTAGGTGGTGGACTGGGAGGTGGGGGATTAGGTGGTGGGCTGGGAGGTGGAGGATTAGGTGGTGGGCTGGGAGGTGGAGGGTTAGGTGGTGGGCTGGGAGGTGGAGGATTAGGTGGTGGGCTGGGAGGTGGAGGGTTAAGTGGTGGACTGGGAGGTGGAGGATTAGGAGGACTAGGTGGTGGTGGATTAGGTGGTGGACTGGGAGGTGGTGGATTAGGGGGACTAGGTGGTGGTGGATTAGGTGGGTTTGGGGGTGGAGGATTAGGGGGACTAGGTGGTGGTGGATTAGGGGGGCTGGGAGGCGGATTAGGTGGTGGATTAGGGGGGTTGGGTGGCGGCTTGTATGGTGGGGGGTTAGGTGGGCTTGGAGGGGCCCTTGCTGGATCTGGAGGGGCATTTGGCGCATTAGCTGGAGGGGGTGGAGGATGGTGGTACTCTTTTACACAGAGTGCTTTTTTCCCTTTTGCGGTAGCTGCTGCAGTAATCGGTAAGTTTTTAGAAAGCGCTTCATGAACCTTGCTATATATATATATATATATATATATATATATATATATATATATATATATATATATATATATATATATAAAACCCCTTTTTAAAAAAAAAAAATCGGTAAGTTTTTGAAAGCGCTTTTAAGAAAAGCTCTCACAAAAAATAAACTTAAAAAAAGATTATTACTGTTGAAAGTAAATCTACTGTAAACCAGCTATTATTCATGACATCTTTTATTCGTGATTTTTAAGTTTGAAATCCATCCACAACTATTTATTTTCGTGACTGTGAAAACATTCTACATAAAATCAAGGTGAATCATTAGATCGAGACGAGAAATATTCGCGAGTAAAAGGTCGCAAAACTCGCAGATATTTCTCGCTTGCTAATAAAAATTGGTTTATATAAGAAAAATGAATATGTTTTGCAAATAAAGTTTAGATTTTTCCAGGATTTCATATTTATACTAATAATATTCTATAAAGAGAAAAAGGGACGTCAAAAGGTGATCATAATCATATAAAATCCCAAAAGTGAATGTTTTAGCAAGTGTCGTAAGAACTCAAATTTCCCAGAGCACATTTGTATAAAACACAATTCCTCCTTTAATTTTTTTATTTTCAAAATTAAGATTCTTTCTTTTTAAGCTGCTGGACAAGCCGCGAGTGGAAGCGGAGGAGGTTTCTTTGGACTCTTTGGGGGAGGAAGCAGCGGTAGCGCTGCCTCTTCGTCCGCAGCGGCAGGTGGCAGTGCATTTGTAGCCGCAACTCCGGCACCTGTAAGCAGTCTGTGTCCATCACGAAGAAATCCTGTTGCTTGTGCATGGTGTAACACAAATGGACCAACGAAAGCAACCTGCGATGCCAATGCAAATGGTGCAAATGGTAATGACGACCCTGTAAACTCTGCCACCGACAGTTCTGGTGATGACTGCTTGTGGTATAGTGATACAAACATATGTCTGAATGACGAGGGAACCACTTAAAATCCTCCAGAATGTTTCTTATAAAGAAACTGAAATGTGTCGTGTCGTAGTTTCATCATCGGGTATCTTTTGTGGATAATAATAAAGTCACGATTTTGAAGAATTTATGATCCCATGCATTTTAATTTATTTGAACAAGATCCTATCTGCAAGTAAATTTTAACTCGACAAGACAAGAAGTCTTTCTGTATATCAATTTGACCACAGGCTACAACAGCATATATATAACTTGATTGGTGGAACACTAACTATCTTCCTAAACCTCTTCCACATTCAATACAATCAGAATGTTAAAACGAATTATGCTTCATTAAAGATGTATTCACTTACGAAAGCCTATTAGGATCAATCTATGGGTGAAAAAAAAATTAAACGCAAAAAGAGCAAATTATTTGCATGGGTAAAATGAGCAATAAGCCTTCAACCAAAATTATGAAATCAATGACCCTTGGTCCAGGTGACTAGCATGAGGGAAAGACTAAGTTGGTTCAACTTGAAAATATAATATATAATAACTACAATCTGTATAAATTATTATCGAAGATTCGGGGGCATATAGTTTTTGCCCTCTCTCTCCGTCTGTTTGTCCGCTAAATCTTTAACCTTGCCCATAACTTTTGGTTGGTTGGAGGCATGACTTTCACATTTCACATGTGTATTCCTTGTGACCTTTCTTTGGGTACCATCATATTTGACCTTGACGTTTGATCCACTTTTGAAAAATTTTATGAGACTTTAACCTTGACAATAATTTTTGAACCGTTGGTGCTTGGGCTTTCAAACTTCACATGTGTATTTCTTGTGTCAAGACCTTTCTTTGGATACCAACAATTTTGACCCTTTGACCTTGACCCTCGAGTTTTACCTACTTTTTCAAATAAACTTTAACTTTGGCCATAACTTTTAAACAGTTAGTGCTAGGGCTTTCATACTTCACATGTATCCTTGGATACCAACATCTTTGATCCTTTGACCTTGTTCCTGGAGTTTGACCTTCTTTTGAAAACTGTAACCTTGGGCTTTCATACTTCATTTATGCATTCCTTGTGACAAGACCTCCCTTTAGATACTAACAAACTTTGACTTATTGACCTTAACCTTGGAGTATGACCTACTTTTGAAAAACTTCAACCTTTGCCATAAATTTTGAACAGTTGGTGTTACGGCTTTCATACTTCACTTATGCATTCCTTGGGACAAGACCTTCCTTTAGATACCAACAACTTTGACCCCTTGACCTTGGAATTTGACCTACTTTTGAAAAACTTTAACCTTGGCCATGACTTTTGAACAGTTGGTGTTAGGGCTTTCATACTTTACATGTATATTCCTTGTGACAAGACCTTCCTTGGATACCAACAATCTTGGCATTTGACCTTTACCTCGGCATTTGACCTACTTTCAAAAAAATTTAACCTTGGCTATAACATTGGAACGTTCGTTTCTAGTATAGGGCTTTCACATTTCACGATCATCAGTATCACTTGTGATAAGAGTTTCCCTTGGGCACCATTTGACCTTGACCTTGCCGTTTTACTTACTTTTCAAAAACTTTCACCTTCGCCTTAACTTTTCAACGGTTGGTGCTAGGATTTTCATATTTCACAGGTATATTTCTCGAGACAAGATCTTTCTTTGGGTACCAACATTTTTGAACTCTTGACCTAGAGTTGGACTTGCATTTGAGAAACTTTAACCTTTGCCATAAGCTGCCCTACGGGGAAATCAGTGTTTCACAAATAGATCTTGTTTTTTGAGAAATTAGCCCTATACTAAACTGTGAAATTCAGGTCCGAGGGTCAATATTTCAGGTCCCAGAATCCAGTCATGAAAATGAAAGGCGAAATATTGTCTTTTGAAAAGAATTTATAACGCCCTTTTTAAAGGCGTAATAATGTCTTTTGAAAGGCGTAATAAGGCATTTTTGAAAAGCGCTTTCAGAGGCGTAATAAAGCATTTTTAAAAAAAGTTATGACGTCTTTTTCGCGTTATTACGTCTTTTTGCGTTATAACGCCTTCTCACTTTGCGTTATTACGCCTTTTAAAAATGTACGTCTTTTAATTTTTTTTTCTTTCCACAGATTGATCCTAATAGGCTTTCTTTTTCACGATTTAGGAAATAGTAATCTAAAAAGGTAACGATAAATATATGTCAATGATATTAGTGTAGGCTGTAATAATAATAATATTTTACAATGTATATTGCCATAGCATAGAATGATCAATCAGGGGATGTAAGAAGCCTATTTTCACCGTTACATAATGCAGGTACCTAAAACAAATTGACTTTATACCCTCATATAGTTCTTTTACAAAAAGCAATGAAATCGCCATCACTCAATACAATGGTATTGAATTTTTAATTGGTGTTCTCCTTCTCCTGTTCATCACGAAATGTTTACCCCCCCCCCCCTCCCCCCTACACAAACACACACAAGTCCAGATCTGCCTTAATTTGACTTCTGCTTTTGTCTCATGTTTTCTCTTGGCATAGTCTCGACTGACTCCTCTATTCACGTTCGTTGAAAAGCCATGTTTCAGATCTTCGATGATTAAAACACTTTTTTTCAAATAAACCTTGTGCATATCGTAATGCCATTAAACACGGTTAAAGCAAACAAACTTTTCTTGAATTCATGCTAACAACGATGTGATTCTTTTTAAAAATGTATACAGAACTAGTATACTGGATAAAGTAAAGCGAAAAACACTTAAATTACAAATCAAAATTCCTTGTCCCTGCCACTTTGCTCTAAGCATGCTTAGTGCGACTGAAAAGTTCCGCGCGCTCGTTTGTGTGTGTGTGAGGGTGTGTGTGTGTGTGTTTTCTTCACAAAGGAAATACATGAAATGATTAGAAAGGCAGAGAAATGTCAGAAATGTATCAAAAGAGATTCAAAAAAGATATTTGCAGGAGAATTGTTATACATGCTGTTATGCATGAAGTTTACTAAAGTTCTGTTTTTAAAAAAAATCCTTTGAGAGAACATAATTATTTAAAATCACGTGTTTTATTTATTTTCTCGTGGATTTGTCTAAATGCTGTTACATAATTGGTCGGACCTTGTTTACTTTGTGTATTTATGGCAATTAACAATTATCGAACTTGACCAGCTACATCGTCCAAACCTGTAAATTTCAGACATTAAATTTCTTTGTAAAACCAACGAAAAAACTGACAACCCCCCCCCCCCTCCCCGTTTGAAAAAAAACCTAGATCCACTCCTTTTGCTGATGTATTTTTTTTAACTTTATAATGTTGACAATAAAAGTACATTGACAACATTTTTGTAATCCTGTAATAATTGATTAATGTAAATGGAGTTTTCTATCTAAGAACAACACAGAAATCTGTTCCCTTTATTTTCACATCTGTGTGATGAAATCATCATGTCAAAGAAGAAACTAGTTAAATGATAAAATGTGCATCTTCATATGCAAAGACATTTAAATTGCAAAAAATGGAAATTCATGTATTACAACTGACATCATTGGTAAATATAAGCAAAATGTGTTCAGGACAGGAAGTTAATTTACAAAAAAATCACAGTAAATTCAAAGAAAAAGACTTCTGAATTCAATCTGTACAAAAAAATCGAAATGTTCCATAAAAAATTCAAATATTATTAAGGAAAGATTCAAAGTTGAAAACCTAACTACAGTAAAACACGCTTATAGCGAAAATGGTTATAACGAATTGATGTTTACAGTGAAGTGATTTTCATTCCCGGTGGCTTTAAATATATTGTGAACTTAATAGATATAACGAAATATTACGTTTTCAACAGTGAAATACTTTGATTTATTTATTGAATAAAAGTGATACCGGTATTCTCTAACAGTTAGAAAGGATACCAAAGTGATATTCTGTCACAGTGTGAAAGGATATGAAAGTAAGTGAAAAATTATATCTGGCTTGTAATAAGATAGAGATGGTAACTAAATCATCTTGATAGAGACTAAAACTGCCAATTTCTTCCCAAATATGTTGCTAAAATCAATGTTACAATGTTTTCAATCTCACAATTGCTAAAGCTACAGTATGACATCTCAACTGCTCAACTATGACATCACAACCTATGACACTATGTTAAGAAAAGACAGAGGCAAATGGATAAACAGAAAATTCAATGTTTTGTAGTTGGACATGGAATTTATTTCACTTTTGAGACGGATTTTTTTTTTTATATTTTCACTCTTCGCACTCACGAAAGTAAGAAATCCTCCCCCCCCCCCCCCCCCCCCCCCGAAATAAAATTCAATATCCAACTACAAAACTACAAAACATTGAACATCCTCTATTTACATTCATAATGAAGCAAAGTTGTCAGTCCCTCTCACTTCATTGTAAGCATCTTTTTCTCTACATGAACATAGTCAGTTACAAATGCCACACTAATACAGTACTTTAGATTAAGGGATTATTACACCATCAACTGATAAGATGAGTATTACAAATAAGGCAAGTCAAGAAGTTTTCCTCTGTAATTTCTAACAATCAAATCTAAATTTATTATCATATAATTTTGTTTGCATATGTCATCATAGGGTTTAAATTTTTCACATACAAAGCAGTGTCACAATAGTGCCAGCATCCAAACAATGTAAACATGCAATTTTTTGTAGGAATTAAGGTTTTCAAAAAAATTAAGTTTCTTAGTTTATCATTGATCTTATGAAAATATAATACTGAAAATAATTATATTCAACATACTGCTTACAAAAAATTCCATGAAAAAATAGGATGACCTCTTCTTCAGCAGTGTCTAGAGCCAAGAGAGCTACAGACATAGAGTACTCATTAGTCAATGATCAATATGAACAGTAGTAACCCGCACTATACTAAGAAACATTTCAGATCATGTGCTTACAAGAATATTTTCAAAAGATATAATATTCAATAACCTATATCATATTTAATGCATTTTAGTTTCACATTGCTAAACAATGATAAGTAAAACAACCTTACTAAGAGCCAAAAGTTAATTACCGATTTCAAAGTAAAAAAGTTCAATCTGATTAAAATCATATCTTTGTTACACTCTGAAATTCTGATGGTCGCTGTGTTCTTCGTACAGTGACCATCAGGATTTCAGAATGTAACAAAGATCTGATTTTAATCAGATTGTAAAAAGTCTGGTTCTAAATCAAATCTGTTAAGGTACAAATGTATTTATAATGTCTCATTCTGATTACCTTTATTAGAATTAAGTCAGAAATTGAAGAGATAAAGAGAATTTGTCCAATAAAAGGATCAAAGATTCAAGTCTAAATTCAACTCACAGAACTGAATTTAAACATGACATACATGTAACTCTGTCTAAAGTTAGACAATAGTTATAATACAAGTGGTCTTCACCAGACAAATGTTTCATTTGACCACTTTTAAAGACAAGGTCAACTCAATGGGGGATATCTTACTTTCTGTTTCAAATCCTGACTTGCCTTAGAATGACATATTAATAAGATACAACGTACCCCTCTTTCTGAGTTAAGTGCAACAGCTGAACAAACTGTACAGGATAATGAAAGGACAAATATTATAAATCCATAGACCAGCCTCCCAAAAGGAATCCCATCTTTTTCCATGCTTGCTTTTTAAAGCCTCTGCGGTTCATCTGCATTATCTGACAGGTACTTACTATATGAACCAATGATGTAAATGTTTATGAAAAAATTCAAAAATACACTGTACATGCAATGACACAGAACAACAGCAATGTACATGTATTTGTCATCGAATTATTAAAAAATGCATTCAACAACTTCATATGTTTTTGCCCTAATAAACATCAAATAATCAAAGTTTAATGGGGCATCAAACTTTGGCACACTGTTGACATATAATACTAGTAACTTTTCACCAGTAATTGGTCTACATTTGGTCTAAGGAAATGGAAACATAAATAATATACATGTATTTAACTAAAGGACAAATACATGTATTTGTTGCATTCATGATTTTCAAACAGTGGCATTATAGTAATCTATTTCTTTATGAAACAACCCTGATATGGGGACACACAAAAGATAACAGACATCTATCTCTATATCTACTCAAATACTGAAAATTAAGGGGTTGGGGTGTCACTAATGATTAGAGAAATATATCATTCTATGTAAATTAAAAGCAATCTGATCAACTGCTCTTTTTTTTAATTTATCTGGATTTCCTGAACACCCAACTGGATTTCCTGAACATCCAACAGGGTTTCCTGATTACCCATTTGGATTTCCTGATCTTGCTTTTCTCTTTGAAGTGGTGATGAAGTGAGGGAATAGATGTAGGTGTGACTCTTTTACTCATCCCACTTTGGCACTGATTTTCAAAGCCTTCAAGGCATTGTTCACTCTCACTGTTAATCTGTTCTCAAAATCATAGTCCTTATAATTATCCTAAAAAAAATAATATGTTGGAAGCTGATTTTGTCTTCGAAATGTTACAGTCATTAAAACTTCTTTACTGGCTAAATTGCTTGACATATGTACATGTTCTGTCTTCAATTGACAACAATATGAAATTGAGAATTAAAAATAAATGTTCCCCTTTTACTGAATGGACAACTCTTACCTTAATCTGTTGTAAAAGTTGTTTTGCTTTTCCGGCAGTCTGAAATGTTCATATTTTTATACATGTAAAAACGAGTCCTAAATCATTGAGCTGATGAAACTTTTAACATTAATTATACTGAAAAACTACATATTTACTTACAGTACGCACTGAAGATGGTACATGTACTTTATGTACCGGTACATGTATGTTAAAAAAATTAGACTATTTTTTTTTTTTTTTTTTTACAAAAATGTTGTGAATGATTTTATGTCTATACATGTATTTTACACAAATAAACATTAATTTTGTTTATTTATTGTTTACCTCAGGTTTTCTCATGAAAATGGAAGCAAGCTCAAAGCTGGCAAAAGCTGGGACATGTTGGTCCTCCTTCATTCCTTGTTGTCGAGCAATGGCCTCCTCCAAACACTAAACAAAAATTTCAGTTGTTAAACACAGATGAAGTAATGAGAAGAAATGTAATGGACATGTGAAAAATCTCTTCACAAGGAGATCTTACTTATGTATACAAATCATACACAAGTTGTTAATTCAAGTCGTAATGAGTTGAAATTTTCTGCAGTAATGTTGAACTCCCCCTCACCTGTACTGCCATTTCTAATTCTCCAAGCTCTTTATACACAGCTCCTTCTATCAAACATTTGACATGATAGACCTTGGCATCTGTCTGCATGTCACAAACTGAAAAAATATATATACCATAAATTATGTACAATATTTTTTTCTTAATTTACAATCTTAATGCACCACTAAATTCCATCTTCACTAGCCAAGTGTTTCTAATCAGGCTATGGGGGCCATAAAAAGTAAGACAAGCTCACTTCTGATCTCAGTCTCTCTTTTCACTATTAATTCCTTTGGTAAAGTGAGACTGAGATCAAAAGTGAGCTTGTCTGAGTTTTATGGCCCCAGTAGCCTGTTCCACTCCTCACAACTGAAAAATCCTTGGCCTACCTTGTTATCTTTCAAATTATCTCAAATCTTATCTCTTAGACACAGCTTGCATCAATGACAATATATCTGCGAGAAATGGCTTAGAAAGAACTATGCACACTAACTCTCAATTCCTGGCTATATTTAACACACATTTAATTCTGAAATCAATACTAATGACAATTTGGCCATTAAAACTTTTTTGAATGCAAAGAAGAGTGGTAATTGATCAATAATTTTGATACCAGTAATACCAATTACTCTTTTATACAACTCATTTTATAAGGGGGGTAGAGGATGTTCTTCATTAAAAACAGACTTTAAAACATCACAAGATTTTAAAATATTCATGGATATAGATAAATGTCTCTTTGAAAATCTTATCATATGTTTAAATCATGTAAAATTAAACATACAAAATTGATAAAATACGATTTTTAGCCATAAACCCCTTGAAATTGGTGATAAAATGATCATTTTTGCTGGCTTTTTTGTCTATAAACATACTCCCCCCCCCCCTTTATAAATATGAATAATCATTCAAATATGTTAACTTTTGAAGATTGACTTTGAGATAGGCAGCAGAACAATACTACCATTTTCAGTTTGATTACTGATTTATTACTATGTACCTGTAAGATAGGGTTGAAGCTCATCAGCAGTGCAGGTGGGTAGAGCATGCCAGAGAAATATCAGCTCCATACATAGCAGTCGACAGTACTCTTGGCTCGGGGCTGCTTTCTTCAACTTTTCAGCCTTTTAAGAAAAAAACCAAAGTGTCAATCAACTTCCTTAATTTCCAGCTTATAAATCAAAGACTCCTCCCATTAGCTTACAAACAATGTCATATGATTAAAACTACACTAACCCTCCTTGAGACATAGGCTTCGATTTGATTGTTCTTCTTTTTGAGCAGACCTGGTACTTCTTTGAGTATGTCATGAGCTCCCTTTATATCACCCATTGCTCCCAAGGATACTAAAACAAGCAAAATATTAATCATTCTCAAGCACCTATCTTAATCACTGAAAATACAAACTATTGATTCTTAATACACATGTACAAAACATACAAAAGACAGAAATTTCCAAATGTTTATTACAACAGTTTCTAATTGTTTAATTACAACTCTATTTCAAATACCTGTAGATTCCTAAATATATGAGAGGGATTATATATTTCATTATTTCCTGAGAAGCAACACTCATGAAATAAAATTACTAGCTGTCATCTTTATGTTGCTGAAATACATGTATATGTAAAATCTCTTAATCAACAGTCCATTTGTGTTTTCATGTTCTCCAGATTTGACGTCTGTAAGTCATTTCACAATAATAAGTACTTGCATAAATTAAGAATTCTACAGTAAGGTGCACATTTGCTAAATTCTTCACCAAAAATTAACTTAATTGGATGATTTACAAAAAAACATCTTTGAACCTACAAATATTAAATTGATTTAAGTTTATCTATCAGGTAAATAATAAATAAAAATTCATTTTTATTCAATGACATACCTTTAAATTTTACACGGGATCATATACATTGATAAAATCTACAAGTATGAGATTTAAATGTACTCACCACCCATGAGGTATGTATAGTAACACTTGGACCACTTCGTCTCTTCCTTTAATCTAAAATTAAACAGGACAAAACATCTCTAGAGAGGTGTATTCAAAGAGCCATAACAAAAGTAGAGATCAACTTCTGTAATCAATAGATGTAAGATTTGTACTGGTATTATAAATAGGTATGGAATCTCCAGTCCTTTATAAGCATCAAAAACTATATGCTGTTGTCTGGAATTTCAAGGGCAAGGTACAAAGAATTTATTCTGTTTACCTTGTGAATGCTTGTAAACTTTCTCTCCATTGTAATTTCATTAAATTAACCCAACCTAAAAAAAAAAAATACAAAATAAAATTTGCATTTATATTTTGGATTCAATATCCTTAAAAATTTAAACATTATATTTTTTCCATATCAAATACATTCATTACATGTCATATTATTCTTCTTAAGAGTTATTAATCTTTTCATATGTCCATATGAAGAAAAAAAACCTGCTTTATAATATATTTGTCAGTTTGAAACATCTTTGTCAGTTTGATACTTGATTTCTGTTTCCCTAAGATCTTTGATATTTACCTATTTCATATTGACACATGAGTTCTATTTCCCGTTGACCTTTTGCTGCCTCTAAAGCTTTTTGATAGGACTCCAATGATTTGTCTGTTTGTTTCTAGTAAAAACACAAAAATATTCCATAATAGTACAGTGTCAAAATATACTTATAGCAGAATTGTTTCAATTTGTGTATGCTATTAAAGCCTCTTTAAGAATTAATGGCTGATATTTAATTAAAGATAAAAGTACTACTATATTGAACCTGACTTCACTCTTGGTTAATTTTGCATGTTTTTCTTTCTGTTTAAAATTTACCTTTTTTCTGTCCAATTCAATATATATTCATTAATAAATTAATTTACAACAGTGTAGTCACTATATGTTTCAGTTTTTTCCCCTAGAGCTAAGAAAATCAGCATTCTGAGAGTAGAAGTGAAACATTTAACATCTGTACTGGGTCCAACATATCAATGTATAAAAAGGTACATTCTTTGTAGAATAACATTACAACACTCACTCTTTTAATAAAAAGCTGAAGCTAAATCTACTATAAGAGACCAATCTAATTAAAAAATGACATTTTCTCTCTCTTTTTTTTTTTGGGGGGGGGGGGGGGGGGGGGAGGTTGTATTCGTTAAAACTCAAGTAATTCCAAAAAAAAATCTTGAGTCAAAATTGTCAATGCTTTAAAGTAATAATATAAGAGCATAATTCAGTCAGACAGTATTAAATTCCCATGTCAGTAATACTGTCACTCTGAAACTCTGCTGTAAAAAAAAGTCTACCAGTATCAACGTAAAACTGAAAATTTGACATAACAAATTAATCTTTTATTTTTAGTAGATTATCAGCCAACTTTCCCTATAGTTAGAATCCAACTAATTTCACACTGGTCTTTAAATCTACTATGGACAGTAGTATGACGAAACTCAATCCATTTTAATTTTAAAATTTGAAACTTCCCAAAAATAAAATTTTCATTTTTTTTTTTTAAACAATATAGGTCAGAAAGTCCTTAAAATAAAGGTTGAAACCCATGAAACTCGCACTTGATCTGCAACATTTCTGTATGCAAGAATGTACCAAATTTCAATTTAATATCTCTGAGTTTAATGCACAAATTCTGGAAAACAGAAGCTTTCTCAATTTGTAGTCAATAAAGGGATATAACTTCGTACCTCATCTAACCTCGGCTGTACCATGTAAACCTCCATTAAACCAGAGCTACTTTATAAGCAATATGGCTGCGCCCTATAATTACATGGGCACAGTGTGCTGAATTCGATCTGTTAACAAATGTGATTATGTAGAGATACTAGGAGCATGTTTCTTGGTAATTGTTATTGTTAGTGTTACCTAAATGCTTTTGAAAATTTTTATCGTATGTCAGATACATGTTTATTATTGTTTTCATAGCGTTAAGTTTTCCCTAAGAGGTAAACAGGCAGCCTTATCACAAATGTTAAGCGGAGACGCATATCAAGTTTCCTCGTACAGCCGAGGTTTGATGAAAGTGACGGAATCAGCCGAGGCTTGCCGAATGATTCTCAATCTTGGTCTGCACTCATTATACATGTATATTATTTTAATTATACCCCAAAATACAACCAATAAACAATTCAGGAAAATATTAGTGGAAGAAAGACAGCTATAGGCAAACTATCATTCAGATTAATGGTGAAACTAGTCTCTATGGTTATCAAACAGATCAACAAAATTAAAGGCAGTTGTATACTTTAATTTATAAACTTATGTGAGAATTTTCAACAAATCTGTCATGAAGACAACCAAATAAAGGATTACCCTGAGTCTATGGATCCTCCCACGAAAAAATAAGAATAAGGAAGACTGCTGGAATTCAGCTTCCTTCTCCTCTATAATTCTCTCTGCATCTTCAGTCCCTGATACAAAATAAAGAAATTCTCATCAGGCTAAAATGCTTCAAAATTACTTTTTTTCTGTACGTCAAAATTTCAATTCTCAGATTTAATCAATGCTGTTCTTTGGAAATGCCACACAGTTAACAAAAGTACTAAAATATTGTAAATATATGAATTTCCTTAAATCACTCTTGGTTCTATACTTTAAATTTATGGGGAAAAAAATCCAACCCTAGGAAGGAATGATTTTGTACATTACCTTCTTCAAATTATACAGACCATTACAATTATGTGTTATTCAACAACTTTAAAAATTCTTAATGACTGATGTTCAAAAGATGATTTTTTACCTGCACTGTAATCATTAGCTCCATCCAATGCAAAGAATGGACGCAGTACAGTGTGGTACCACAGCAGGCCTAGTGTGGCAAGAGGTGCCTTCATATCTTTACTGTGACTAGAGTAATCTAATGCTGCAAGTCCGGCATCACGGTCCCCCTCAAACCCAAACAGTTCAATCAACTTAAGAATCTTAGGGGGAACCATTGATATACAAATCTGGAATGTTCCGTATCCAAAACTGACTGCCCCTTGGAGACGGTCCAGAAGTTCCTGAGGCATTTCGTTGTCATTTCCATCCACTGGTCCATTCTCTGACTGGCGTAATTTGGCATTTCTCATCTGGAGCTGCATGACATCTTTGTATAATTTCTCATAAATTTTCCAGGCTTTACGGAGGTACCATCCACCTTTGATGTAGCTAGGAATGTCTTGATTGGTGAACACTAGTATTGCCTGATAGAGTAATGAATCAGCCACAATCACCTGTCTTTGAATCTTTTCATCAATGCTGATTTGTCCCTCCTGAAAAATGTTTTTTCTTTTTGAATTGCTGCATTAGAGAGTATACATCACTAATGAGTTCATAAAATATTCTGTAATTTATTATGTACTGACATGTAGTCAATTTACTCAACTCATTTTTTTTCTACCATTCAGTAAAATTCTACAAATCCTTCTATTTTAAGCATAATTCTAGACTTTTTTCAAAAAAATAGTCCTTTAGTAAGTTTCAGAAATTAGCTTGTAAGCACAAAGATCATCAGTGTTTTATCTGAAAGTATATTTCATAGAAATGTATATAAGGCCAAATAAAAAAATATGTGTGGTTCCGGTTACCCAACCGTCCCTATTTTATACCCCCGACCCTAAACTTTTTTAGGCAATTTTCATATTTTTTCCGGAATTTTCTCTGATTTCCGTCATCGGCTCCGGTATTACTTTTAGTTTCAGCAATGGCAGCCTCCTTGCAAAACATCGTTTCAACACATGCATTGTTTAATAGTGTTAAATCTAAAGCAAGCTAGCATGGCGTGACAGCATGCTTTGTTTTCCAGTATCATGTTTTGTTGTTGTTGTTTTTTTTCTTTTGGCTAGCCAAAATTAAATAAATATGCCAAACAGTGGTGAGGTTCACTAATTGTTGCTCAGTTTAACCAGCATGCTGATTATTTAATACACGCAAAGGTGTGAAGTCAGGATAGAAAATCATTTCTCGCTTGAACGCACACAGACAGCTGGCCAGGTAACATGCCTTTGGGAGTTGGGGGAAGATAACATGAGAAAACATCATTTGATTGCATTGATTACGCAAGAATTAGCCTAATGTTCAAGATAGATTAACTTGTAAATTATTAAATAATTTATATCAGGATTGTTTCTTTTAATTTAAAAATTTTAACCGAAAGTAAAAAAAAAAAAACAGTTGATGAGGATAAGTGACAAACAAGACTGCTGATTTTACCTGAATAAAGTCAACATATATAGTACCAATATATATGAGAAATGAGCTTGAAAGTATGAAGTCTTCAATGAAATAAAAAGTGTTAAATGTAAGAATTTAAAATTTTAACAATATTAAATTTTTATAATTCTCACACATGAATGATTCTTTGTCACTTTGCTTATGTGGTTTACAAAGTACAGGTGTCACTTTCCTCTGACAGCTCTTAGCAGTACTCTATGTCCATTTTCTATTTTATCGTTCTAAATTTATTCTTGAATAAAATAAGAATTACTCTGGATAACAGTCATTAATTTCATAAAACTTGGATTTAAAAAAAAACAGTATGTTCACCTTGGAAAAAAAGAGATTATTTGTGTTTTTATTATTTTTGATTTAGGGATGCCCCCTACCAATGTTGACTAGTATATTATCATGGTACATCTAAATGCCACTTGCAAAGCAGTGATAGGTATTATTTAGAAAAATTAAGATTGATTGATTGTTTGTTGTTTAACATCCTCTCAAGAATTTTTCACTAATATGGAGATGCCACCACTTGCCGGTGGAGGGCTACAAACTTTGACCTATAGTCAGCACTCAGGGCCATTGAGCAGTGAGGGATCTTTTTCGTGCCAGCACCTACTGCGACACAGAACCTTGGTTTATACCGTCTCATCCGAAAGACCTGTCTCCACGTCCCGCGGTGGGATTCGAACCCGCAACAAAAGGATCAAGTCCTTACTTTGCAACTCTAGAGCAGACGCTCTATCCACTGCGCCATGTGGGCAAAAAATTTTGAAAATCATTATGTTAAATGAAAAAAAAAATCTCTACCTACCTACCCTAATTTTTTTTGGAGGTGTAACTGGAACCACACATATTTTTTTTGTTTGGCCTACACTTATTTGTTACGTGTACATGTATATAGACATCATCTCTGCCCAGTGCATGTAATACATATTTATACCTCTCTCTTTTTCTTTGACTTGAATCTGTTTTTGATTGACTTCAACACTCCTGAATCTGTATCACATAATTTTTCAGTTTCTTGTAAAACTTTTAAAGCTTCATCTAGCTTTTCCTCCTCAAATGACATAAGAGCTTGCTGCAAAAAGTAAATAATTTTTTATCTAAAAACACACACAGTAAAATCTGTTCAGCAAACTTTTAAGTACATGTATTTCTTTTGTAACTAAAAACAAAATGCACTGATGAGTGATGACAATGCCATTAATGTATCAATAACATCAATGAGACTTGATAAATAGGACAAATTTTGAAATATTAATGTGCACCGAGTAAATGTGCTGTTATATTCCACATGAGATTGATATAGATAGTCCAACTGAAGAATGAAGTTGTACAGTCAAACCTTGTTATCTCAAACTCCAAGGGACCGAGATTAAAGTTCAAGATATCCAAGGATTCAAGATAACAGGGTAAAAAACATTTTAAAAAAAATTGGTTGGGACTGTCAAATCACTTTGACATATCTCAGGTATTTGAGATATTAGTGTTCGAAATAACAAATTCCAACAGTATTTAGTTTATTCACATTATAATGTATTAATCCATAATGTATTATAGCACAATATTTTGCATATATAAAGACATTATAACTAGGGATGTCAATTTTATTTGGACAGCTTAGTCTAATAGTCAGCGGCTATAGTCGAACGATAGTCGAATATTCGTTGAAATTTAAATTAATTTTCATGTCATTTTCACTATTTGTCTTTTATAGACTAGTTGTACAATATTTATACTACGCTATCACCATTATACAATGAATCTCTGAATCATAAACATTTACGTTGTACAATAAATACATCTACATGTAGTGACCTATGACTGGTAAACAATTAAAGCCTGCCTCTTATAAAAACAGAGAGAACTCACGATAAATTTTAATTATGAGATTTTGTGCAAACAATCAACACCATCTTAAAATGACTGTATGATATTAATATCAGAAAGAAACACCGTTTAATTACGTTAAATGTCCCCAAATTTACATGTATTTACAATTTTGTAACAGCTGTTTAATCATTCTTTATGAATAGTTGCATTACGTCAAATCTTATGGAATTGCAGGTTGAAACTTTATAATTTAAATCAAAACCAAACAATTCTTGAACGCCCTCTCCATTTACAACAAAAAGAGGTACATTGTAGACAATCCTTGATAATCATGTTTGTGTTAGCAACATTTTTCTTTCCGGCTCTGCTTTTTTGTCTTTTTTGCGGAGAACTTACTAGGAAAGTTTTACTTGAAGACTACCGGTATATATGTTTGACAGATACGGCATAGATACCTAATATATGATGTTCCACTGCAGAATACAACTTCAGTTTCACATAAACTTGATAATGTACTTTTCACTGTTTTTCCATCCTGACATCTTTTAAAGTATGTCAAAACTGTAGATTTTGGAGGCATGTTTGCCAAACATAAATCGACATATACATAATTTCCTTTGAACAGTTAAACCTTATCCTGAGTTTTACTTACGAGAACATTGATCTGTAAATAAATGAAATGGGCAGATCCAAGTTTGTTACTTTGAATTTAAAATTACTATTAGAATTAGGTGACACATTTTTAATGAATAACCAACTAAAGAAATTTTAGTCGATAGTCGGTATGATCGAGCGATAGTCGAGTACTCGAATATTCGTTGACATCCCTAATTATAACACATAGACTGTATCTATTATCATTCTAACTATTCATTTCTTCTCTGAAATTATCACTTACCATGAAAAATACAAAACTATATCCTGAATTCATCAAGTAACTGTCATTCCTGTAATAAAATGTTTAATGGAGTTAAGATTAATTCTAATGAATTTCGAGCAAGTGCAGGGAGCTCTTACAGCAATGCCTGGGTAAATAGGAAATTCAGATTATGCACAATTTTTTTTGCAGTAACCTGGTTAACACTACAAATTACATTCATGTGGTAACAACAAAAGTTCATGAAAAATAAAGAAATTCACCTTTCAATGGATATTGCAGATAAATATTATTAACTAATTAAAAACATTCTTTGTTTAAAAAATGTGCACTATTCAGACTTAATTTGTTATGGAAATTCAAAATACAGCTAACATCATAGTCTAGACCTTCCAAATGTCTCGTGTGGTTTGGAGAGATGGATCTAAGTTAAAAGTGAATAGGTATCCAGTTATAATATACACAACTGTGTTTGACCAAATAGTCGCACTGTCAACATATTAAACGATTACATGTAAATGAACACTTAAAGCTTCAAGTAATGCAAGAATTATCATAAAATTAACCTGAGGGGAACATTGTCACAAATCTGAACTTTTTATATACATAAACATGATAAAGGGGAACACTCACAGGTCTGGATTCTCAGCTCTATATACATAAAGGAGAACATTGTCACATGCATGGATTCTTTATGTACATAAAGGGGAACATTGTCACAGGTCTGGAACTCTGGATTCTCTGTGTACATAAAGGGGAACACTCAAAGGTCTGGATTCTCTATATACATAAAGGGGAACATTGTCACAGGTCTGGATTCTCTACATACATAAAGGAGAACACTCACAGGTCTTGATTCTCTATGTACATAAAGGGGAACATTGTCACATGTATGGATTCTTTATGTACATAAAGGGGAACATTGTCACAGGTCTAGAACTCTGGATTCTCTATGTACATAAAGGGGAACACTCAAAGGTCTGGATTTTCTATGTACATAAAGGGGAATGCTCAAAGGTCTGGATTCTCTATGTACATAAAGGGGAACATTGTCACAGGTCTGAATTCTTTATGTACATAAAGGGGAACATTGTCATAGGTCTGGATTCTCTATGTACATAAAGGGGAACATTGTTATAGGTCTGGATTCTCTATATACATAAAGGGGAACATTGTCACAGGTCTGGATTCTCTACATACATAAAGGAGAACACTCACAAGTCTTGATTCTCTATTTGCATAAAGGGGAACATTGTCACATGTATGGATTCTTTATGTACACAAAGGGGAACATTGTCACAGGTCTAGAACTCTGGATTCTCTATGTACATAAAGGGGAACACTCAAAGGTCTGGATTCTCTATGTACATAAAGGGGAACACTCAAAGGTCTGGATTCTCTATGTACATAAAGGGGAACACTCAAAGGTCTGGATTCTCTATGTACATAAAGGGGAACATTGTCACAGGTCTGAATTCTTTATGTACATAAAGGGGAACATTGTCATAGGTCTGGATTCTCTATGTACATAAAGGGGAACATTATCACAGGTCTGGATTTTCTATGTACAAAAATATCTGATTCCTGACTAGTATTTTCTTCTTCTTTTTTTAATTTTACAGGGAGTTATCTTTCTACCCAATTAGAATCATCAGTGGACCGATCTTATATTTGAATCTAATACTAGGTTTGTGTGTACTTATTTTTGAGAGATTAATAAAGATTCATATCTTAAGGAATTTGGTTCAAGCCTGTATAAACTTAATCCTATCCTTGAATACACTAAAATAAATACATTACATATACAATACACATTATCTAAACATTTTTATAGCAAGTAAGCAACATAGGGCTAGAGGGCAAAAGACTGGTTTCAAAGTTTTTCCTCTCATTCCATTTTCTTTTCTTTATTTTTATTTATTCATTTATTTATTTTTTTTGGAAACAAATTGACTTACTCAAGAAGAGACTGAAATAACAATAAACAAAGATGGAGTTGTAAAACTGATGTTAAACAGGATGTGTACATTATGAAGTATGATTAATAACCAAGGAAATATTAAAAAATATGACTCACTGGACATTATTATCTTGTTTGGTTACATCTCTTACTCCAAATCTAAACTGTTCAATGTTTTTGGCTACTGTATTGTATTCATGTTTAATTAAAAACTTAATATCATTTACTTTTCTTGTCCTTAATAAAAATAATTACACAATCCTGACTTTAGCTTCGGGATCGAAAAGATTAGCAAAAAATTTCTCTGTGTGATTGTGTTTTCTCCCGATGAATTGCAATTTATTAAATTTTTTTTAATTTTTCATATGTTCATATGATACATACTTGTATTTTTGGAATAAAGCGCTTGCTTCTTCAAAACCATTATTCAGCAACATTGAAATACCATTCAATGCCATTTCGGACTCGTCCATGCCAGCAAGGGTGTCCTCGCTTTCGGAACTGGTCAATTCGGGAATGATTGAATTTGTTGCCATCTTTTCAATTCTTGATTGTGCTCACGGTGACAAAATATCGATCGCTCATCTCCTCTTTCTCACGACAGCAACATGAACCTTGACTTGTTTGGGGTTGCCACCGTTCTTACGCACTTCCGGATAAAAGGGCATTCCCAATGCGGCACGTCGATTTACCCAAATGGACCCAAATGGAACCCAAATGGACACAAATGGACCCAAATGGAACACAAATGGACCCAAATGGAAACACAAATGGACCCAAATGGAAACACAAATGGACGCAAATGGAAATCAAACGGACCCAAATAGAAATCAAATGGAATATTAAATATATATACACTTTGTATCATCGTATTATCAAGTTGTTACTTATTTAAAATGATGAAAATAATGAACTTACAAATGGAGAATATTAATTATTCATTTCTAATATTGTATTTTAAAATACGAATTAATTTTCTATAGTATTCTATACATCGGCAAAATTATTGGGGGGGGGGGGGGGAGAATAGTGCGCTTCATTTTAACGATAGAACATTCTGTCTAGCTTCTCTCCCCTCCCCCCCGGTTCCTACGGCCATGAAATCTATAAACTTTTTAATATGAAATACTTCCATTTTGTATTCAATGATATGCAAAAGTTATTTCAAATAGAAAAAAAATAATTCGTATTTTAAAATACAATATTAGAAATGAATGATTAATATTTTCCATTTGCAAGTTTATTATTTTCATCATTTTAAATAAGTAACAACTTGAGAATACGATAATATATATTTAATATTCTATTTGGGTCCATTTGATTTCCATTTGGGTCCATTTGTGTTTCCATTTGGGTCCATTTGGGTAAATCGACGCACCCTTCCCAATGAAATCCCGAGCCCGAGGAGGAACCTAGCACTGGTTCTCTGCCCTTGATTCCAGTCGCTGCCGCTAGGAATTGGTTCTTGAGGGCACTTGCGCCCGTTAACCAATGTCAGGGTACCAGTCTAGGAGGAACCCGAATTACCAATCGGCAATCCTCTGCTACGGTCCTAGCACTGGTTCTCTGCCCTTGATTCCAGTCGCTGCCGCTAGGTTTTTCAGGGCGCTTGCGCCCGTTAACCAATGTCAGGGTACCAGTCTACTACGGTCCATGCAAATAGTGTCGAGGCACGAACCACCCGAGGAGCTTCGAGTGCCATTAAAACTTGGAAAGGTAAAGTCTAACGTTAAAGAAAAACATTTACTTAGTATAAAGACAATACAGGTGAAATCAGGGAATCCACCTGTATTTACCGATAGCAACAGAGGAATACAGACACAGATTGCCTTACACTTACACTACAGTAAAGCTTTGAGAAACCTAAAACAGGTTTGGTACAGTCACTAGATTTAGCTACGTAGCTTGAATTTTTACATACCTATCTGATGTAGCTGTATTGAGCTACCAAATCAAAGTTTTTTCGTAAATTAGCATTTTTTCTCGGGATGTGCAGAAAATCACACTTTGATCCAGTGATAATTTTCAACTTTATTTTCATCTGAAAACAAATTCATGAAATATGTGTCTTTTCTGCGCAATTGCAATCAAAGTTCTAAAAATTTAGGGGCTGTATACAACAGTTAATTTGGATCAAACAGTTACTTCTTAAATGAAATAACTAAGACAGACCAGTTCTGGTTAACACGATAATTGATTGGGAATTATTCAGCACAATGTGAAGTAATCATACTTATCCATGCCTCACCACACTCAAAGTGGTGTACAGTTACTCAATGAAAATACACCTTTTGCTTAAAAGTGCTCAAATGCAACAATGTTTAAACTATCTGTTCTTTGGATTGCTTTTTTATAAATCCCTCATATAAATATTGGTAGTCATATACGGTATCAGGTCCGTTCTCCCTATCTACCTGTTCGCATGAGTCCGTTCATGCAGGGTCCGTTCGCCATATATCCCATTCGCCTTATTGATGATATGCAGTGTTTGAAACTCACGATAGAATTAGCTAGACATGCAGGGCTGACTGCCAGTGAAAGTTGTCAGCCCAGCCAAAACTCAACTAGCCCGAGAAAATAACCCAGACTTTAATAAATATGTTTTAACGATAATGTGAATGGGGCACGATCACCATAACTTCCATCCCAAATGTATAGGCTGTTGAGTTCTACCCTTTTAGCGTCTCGGGTGGTCGGGCGCACGATTATTTCAAACACTGTGATATATGTCATCATTCTCATTGAATTATAGGGGAATTTCCTTTCCATCAGGTGAATATTGACTTTATTTTCGACTTTAATGTTAATCAAAGATGTAATTGGTTTCATTGCTGTTAATTTAGTATTGTAAATTATGGAACGCTTTCTTTTTTTAGTATTTTTTTTAAAGGTGCATATTACAGGTACGTTTTTAAAGTAATTTGGGAAATTGAGAGTGACCTTAATCATGTTAATAGGTCATTTTAATTGGGAATGAGCAGCATCTAAAGAGCAGCAGATATATTCATTTTTTTTTTTATTGAAGAATCTTTTATAATTCTCAACTTCATAGAACGTTATAAAACATTACTAATAAATTAACGAGTATCACATCAATTACTTACCAGTTTCTTCTTATTTCTTTATCCATATATACTGAAAGTTTAAGTATGATAAATATAGTTATAATCTAAACAGAAAAATTCAATAAAATCAAAGGAAATTACAAAACAGACTAACATATAAAGGACGAACGGACTTTGGGCGAACGAGTTCTAGAGCGAACGAACTCTGGGCGAACGAGAATTTGGGCAGATGACATCAAGGGCGAATCTGTTTTAGGGCGAACGAACATACATTTGTCATTAGTGATTTTTTGTCTTTTTTAAATAAAAAGCAAAATTGTGATGTTTGCATTGAAATAGCTAAATAAAGCTACCTGAGGTAGCTAAATAAAGCTACAGTTGGTAATTCTAGCTTACGTAGCTAAATGTACTGATTATACTGGACCTGTAGAATACTACATTTATTTATCAAATGAATTGTTTGTAATTGTGAGCATGGAAATGATAGATTAAAAATGGACATATTGTTTTATATCTATGAAATGCATAGACAAAATGTTTATTGTACCTTCCTGATCACCTGTAGAATTGGGAAAAGCATAATTGGTGGACTGAATGTCTATAATCTTATCAGAATCCTTGTTACATGTCACTATCTCTGGCATGTCAAATGGCTGACAGATCAACGAGCCAAGATGTTGACATCGAAATTGCACATAAAATTGGCCATTTATCATTTGGCTTCCCTGCTTCTACAGAAAACAGGATCTGAAAAATTATAAAAGTCACTTAGTCAGACTGTTTTCAAACTGTGTCGTTTAGAGTTTCAAATTCAATACAGGAGAAGCACAACAAATCTGAAAATTGACTGAAATCTTAATCATCACACCAAATGATACCCATTGTTTGTTTACTTATTATTTGTTGACATTTGACAGTCATGATTTTTAATGAAATTTCATTCAAATTATTGAGGTTTTATGAGAACATGAATTCATAATTGAGACCCATAAATCCAGAAAAAAAATAATTTAAAGAAGCATATATGATTAATCCTTCATATTCTTCAATTGAAAAAATATCTATGATATCTCTGCTAAGTTAGAGCTGGGATTAAGTGCTTGAATCAGCTTTCCAATGTATTTGACTGATCTATAATTATGAGTTATGAATATTAGATAATATATTGAACAAAGTGTATAGTTATACCTTTAAAAAATGTTTCCTATATGATTGTATACTAAAAAAAGTCTAACATTTCGAATGTTCTACTGAGCGGTCATAAAAAACATGAAAAAAATCAATGTTTGACCGCAGAGTGTGATATTGGACCTGTTGATGAGATAATGGACTGCTTACATCACAGTATGGGCGGGATCAGCTGTATCTTATTTGCATTTGTTGGAGTTCAGGAGAACTCTACGGAATTGAACAAGTTTAAACCGCAGGGCGCGTAAACAAAATTTACATCATGTTATATCAAAATAAAAAGTAAAAGGTATAACAAAACATTTATTGACTGTGTTCTTTTTCTTCTCTTTCCTAACGGCCTCAGGCAAACAGTTTGGTTCTTGGGTCCAAAAAATGCATGTTGCCCTTGAACCCAGTCAATAAATGTATATTGATATCTTGTATCACAATCACTATAAGTTTAAGTGTTAAAATATCATCCCATTCCTAGATAATGATATGAATTGACTCATTGGCAGAGAACAGAAAGCCTGCATGTCCCTGGTTACATGGAAGCTGACACTCTGAAGCAAGAACAAAGAACAATACTACGTGAGAGATTTCTCCGCATGTGTGCAGCCATCACAGGACAATCTGCTAACATTTGTATGCAAGAGAAGACCAATGTTCAGTGTGTGTTAAGTCACATTGACATCGATGTCCAACACGTACAAGTGAAGGATCTCCTAACTCCAATGGGAAAAATTCCTAAAGCTGTGCTCCGTCTTAGTGATGTCATTTCCATCCAGATCCCTGACCTTCAGAGCAAAGACTTCTAGAAAAAAATATATTGTTCTTGTTAAAAGGTATGATTATATATATTTTATATGAATGAATGTTAAAATTTTATCTTTTTTTTTTTTTCAAATCGTCCTTTAAAAATGTTTTAAATGCTTTTCAAGAGGTGATGGAACTTAGGATGCCTCTTACAGAAAAAAAATATAGTGGAAGTTTTTATTAGATTTTTTTTACTACCTGCTTTTATCCACTATATACTTATTGAATATTATTGCATATTTAATAGTAATGTGTTCCCCTGTTAAGCTTGATCTCTGTTTAGAATGTATGGCTGAACAAACATACACCTGCATATTAATTATATAATCTTTTCATCATCTTTGGTTAGTCCAAAAAAAGGTGTGGGTAGAAATTGTTTAAATAATTTAAAACACATGTTACAAATATTGCAAATCTTAGAATTTCACCAGGAAGTGCATTTGTTCATACATGTACATGTCTATTTCATTTTCAGTTTATAGTTCAAAGCATAAGAAATTTAAAAAAAAACATGTCAGAACTGAAGGAATTAAAGCGGCTGAAAGATGAAGAGAGGACTTTGATGAACATTGCCAGTAAATTAAGTGATCAGTTGAATCGGATGAAGGTTGAGGAATTAGCTTTACTGAGTATGTTACACAAGGAGGGGCTGCCTGTCGAAAGTGAGGAAAACAAAGAGAAGGAGGGGGAGGAGGAGGCCCAGGTGAGGAGGAACAATAGGATAACATTCGTAATTTAGGAAGGAAAGTAACCACATGTGGGGATATTTTTATCAGTACATAAATAAAGCATATTCAGTGTTTTGTAGATGAATATGGAATTTATTTCACGAGTGGGACAGGATTTTTATTATATTTTCATGAGTGTGAAGCACGAGTGAAAATATAAAAAAAATCCTGTCTCACGAGTGAAATAAATTCCATATTCATCTAAAAAACATTGAATTTTCTGTTTATTACATTTTCTTTGATTTTCCCTTTGACTCTGTCTTTTTGTAACAGGGTGTCATAGGCTGTGACGTCATAGTTGAGCGGTTGAGACATCATAGCTAAGCGATTGCGAGATTGAAAAACATTGTAAACATGGATTTTTAACGACATATTTGGAGAAACTTTGGCAGTTTTAGTCTCTGTCAGGATGGTTCATTTACTCTATCTTATAACAGGCAAGGGAGTTATCATCACTATTTGTGATGGGAATGAGAATCGAAAGTTTTGCCGCACTTCTGATATTCTCACACTGTGAGAATACCATTTTGATATTTATTCACACTGTGTCAGAATATCACTTTTATTCAATAAATAAATGACAATATTTCACTTTTGAAAATGTAATAAAATTACCTACATCCTTAAATCTAATTGAAGAAGCACAGGGTACAAAATAAAAAAATATATATATTTGCAATTATGCTCAATTTGAAACACTTAAAAATTATTTAAACTATGAGGTAGAATAGATGTTAATGTTTTATATTGCAATATAAACAGATTTTATAGAAATCATCCAGAAAAAAAGGGGAAGGGTAAAAAAATTGTTTAATGAACTTGAAAACATCTCCATGTCAATACAAAGAGTTCTTTGTGGTTTTTAAACTAAGATAATCATGAGTTATGTTAGGCCTCTGCAGTTTTACAATAAAAAGTGAAAAGAAAAAAAAATGCATAATGTGATTAAGAAAAAAATGCCTTAACACAAGGGCTGTTAAAGCATTTGGTCCTTTAGATTTCTTATACATTTTGTTTGTTCATAATATGTGTACATTGTGTACAACATGGATTCTCCAAGACTACTGTCTAATATTTTTTGTATCTTACAGCAACCATCTACTTCACAAGCCATTACTGAGGAGACTGAAGAGTTAGTTCCCTTAGATCTCACCGTGCACAATCTTCAACAGGTAGAAAGAATGGAAGAGGAAGAGGAAGATTTTGAAGATGATGATCTCACAATGATGATGACACAGATAAATGGATGATGTTATGATGATAAGAAAAAAAATGTCATTTCTACCAGAATCATTCGCTACACATACCGTATATACTCGCCTATAAGTCGGTCCGCCTATAAGTCGGTTGTATTTTTGAAGCTTATATTAGAGGGATTGACCTTCTAAAATACCAGTCTTTTTATAACTCGCCTATAAGTCGGACATAGAGTTTTGGACCAAAGGTTAACTCCCAAAAATCCGACTTATAGGCGAGTATATATGGTACATGTACTAGTTGACAAGAATATTTATGAATGCTCAAGACACAATATGTGTTACAACTTACAAGAATAAAATATTTTTGTGAATGTTGATTCTTGATACACTAGGATACTATATAAAAGATACAATATGATTTATATGTAAAGTTTTTGTTCATTAATTCAGTTAGTTTTGTATGACAAAAAAAAAGAAATTTGTCATGAATGAATGTATATGTATTAGTTTCAATTTATTACAAGTTTCCATTTTTTAAACTAAATGTATGTATTTTATAACAATATCATAGGTTGAGCTTTTGCTGAAATTAATAATATAATAATATTTCAGGTAAAGCACTTTGAAATCAAGTGAGGAAATACTTCATGTCATAATTTTGAATCCATTCACTTACCACAATACAGAAGCTTTTTCCACAGAGACTCAATTTTTTTTATCATATCCAATGTGTAGAAAGGTCTTTTTGGTATAGAGTATGAGAAAGAAGGCTAGTGGAATAATTTGTGAATTCTGAATGTGTGTTCAAATCTTATTTTCAACAAGAGATGAACTTAGGTATTGGTTAAAATTTAAAGAATTTTTTTTTTACAGTGGAGCCTCATTAATCTGGATGCCAATAATCTGGACACTTTACTATCTGTACGAAGTATGCGGGGGAACAAACTAATTTATTATATGATTGAATAATTCCCATCTCTCTGATTGGCTGAGATCTAATAATGTTAGAAAAATACTACGTTATATTGACCTGCATGTGACCTTCCAGGTCAATATAAGGAATTATTCATTCTACATTGGACCAAAAATAGATAGGAAAATTGAAAAGTGATGCAAATAGTTTTGGAAAGTTATTTCACTTGCAACTGACTTCCACTCATGTGAACATAACATTAGGCCACAAAGATTCTTGGGTAAGGGGTGGGAGTGGGTTGCAGGAAGCCTGCCCCTTTCCCCACCTTTTGAGAATGTAAAGTTTTAATTTAAATCTTAAGGATTAAAAGTTTCAATGAAAGCCCCCCTCCCTCCCTTCATCTATATACCTTTACATCCCACTAAATAAAATTTTGAGTTGGGAGAATTCTTTAAATTTCCTTTTTGGAGGGGGGGGGGGTAGTCAAAGATGGCATGGATTGCTTAATGATTGTGTGTCATTTAATCATTGAATCATATAATAAAACAATTATTGCTGTTTTTTCGGTCAATACGATGATTTAGCCACCTTCAAAGTACAATATTCACCTCGCTCTTTGGGCTCGGTGAATATTGTACTCCTCAGGTGTCTAAATCATCGTATTGACCTCAAAACCCAGCAATAATTGTATAATATACACAAAGTATGTTTCAGTAACCCAGACACTACATTATTCTGGACAATATGCTCTGGGACACAAATGTCTGGATTAACAATTAGGCACAACTATATTGTTTTTAAATAATATTATAATATTATACAAATATAATACAAATTTATAAACACTTTGTATATTGAAAATGCATAATACATCTATATTTGAAAATCTCTACTCATGGACATACTTTGCACGATTAAAATGAGTACTTAACCCTCTACCACAACTGTAAAACCCCAGTCACATTTCCAAAAACGATCGACGTCCGACGGTTTTTTAGGCAAAAATAGGATTTATGGGGCGACAGTCTGCAGTTCATCGGTCGTTGTCGTGCCTGACTTTTATCTCTTCTTTTGTCGGCCGATCGATTTTGTGTCAGTCCAGCCAAGTTATAATTTTTTCTGCGTCGGTGGCCGATTCCTTCAATTGAAGCAGTCGTTGAATAGTCCGTCGACCATCGGCAGACAGTTTTTAAAGTCGGTCGGTCGACTTTTATAGGAATTGAGTTTTACGTAAATATCGGCCGACGGTGAAAATCTAACTGCGGTCCAGCGAACGATGATCGGCCGACGGTTGGCCAACTAATAAATATTTTTACTTTGAAAGCTATCAGTGTTCCTAGGAATTAATGTGACTACTCTGCATCGCCTGATACTCGTGTCGGCCGATTATGTTTTTTCAGCCGACGATACGGGAAAAAAATTAGTCGCCCGACCATCGGCTTAAATGAGACCTAGGCATAAGATTGATGCCTCTTGGGCACAGCACTTCACATGCTTCAGACACCAGGATAAGGAAACTGGTCAAATATTGAAAATACATGTACTTTATATACATCTTATTGGGAAATTCTCTGCTTTTCTATTAAAAGGACAAATAGTACTCAAACCGAGTATATGATTACAATAATTCATGACCCCCTGGATCCAGCGTTCAAGCCTCAGTATGAGGTTAAGTTGGTCATAGATTGAAAATACATTACACTTTTATGGACATGAGGCAAACTACGTGTATTTGCACGATTACAAAGTTAAGAGTAATTGGACATTCACCAGATTTGTAAAATTTGTGTCCCGGGTCCAACGTTAAGACCACAGCTGGGGAAAAGGGGGGGGGGGTAAATTGGTCATATACCTTTGAAATTCTTTTTTATTCATTTAGCAGACAAAATGTTTGCATGACTTATAAGTATTCCTCTACCTAAATTGTGAAATTTAGGTACGGGTCTTAGGGGGTGACTAAATTGGCCATATATTGAAATTTATTATACACTGTAAAATATTTTATTACTCCTAACTTCTAGGAGTAAATTAAATTCCATGAATATGATTACAATTATTGAGTCCTTATAGAAACTGTAATTTTTTTTGTCTATTGAGTTAAATTCCAGCACAAAGTGGGGCTAATTAAAATGGCCACTCATTATACCATGTGTCGAATACCTGATCACCCTTACTGAATATCAGCATAATGTCAAAAATAAGTTTCAGCTAGTGTATCGCTTCTATTCAGATCAATGTGGTGTACGAAGGAGACAATTCTAAATTAAAAAGGCTTTTAGTGATCCATGTTAACGGATACGGGTCTGAAGTTAGACGAAAATGTGGAATTGCATTGATTTCTTGGCTGACCTTTGATTAATTATTTGAAGACCTCATCAATTCATTTGATGCGATCAACATCTCTTCTTGGCGCTACATACATCTCTCCTTTTTGTCCCCCGCTTTTGCAAAAGCCAGGGGATGTTAAATCTCATTCGTCGGTCAGTCTATCTGTCACAAAAATTTAATCTTGGTCATTACAGATAGGGCTTTTATATTTCACATGTACATTACCTGTGACAAGACCTTTCCAAATATAGTATGATTTTTGACTCCTTGACCTTGTATTTTCACCTACTTTAAAAAAAATAGCATTACTTTTACCTTGGTAATAACTTTTATAATGAGAAGAGAAAGGGCTTTCATATTTCACATGCACATTACTTGTGACAAGACCTTTCCAAAAAAACCCCAAAACAACTGATTTTTGACCCCGTGACCTTGACCTTGAAATTTGACCTACTTTTCAGAATTATTAACATTGATTCTACCCTTTGAATGAGAGAAGACAGGGCATTCATCTTGAACACTTGTATTACTTGTGACAAGACGTTTTCCGAACATTCTATGATTTTTTACCCCGTGACCATGACCTTGAAGTTTGACCTAATTTTCAAAGATTTTAACATTGGTAATAACTTTTGAATGAGAGAACTAAGATAGGGCATCCATATTTGAAAATTGCATTACCTGTGACAAGAAGATTCCGAATGTGCTATGATATTTTACTCTGTGACCTTGACCTTCAATTTTGACCTTATTTTCAAAATTTTTATCATTACTACTTACTTGTGAAGGAGAGAAGATTGGACGTTCATATTTGACATGTGCATTACCTGTGACAAGACGTTTCTAAATGTTCTATGATATTTTTACCCCATAATCTTGACCTTGGAAGTTTGACCCAATTAAAAAAAAATTAAACATTGCTGATAACGTTTGAATGAGAAGATACGGCATTTATATTTGAAATGTGGATTACCTGTTTCTAGGTCTTTCCGAATGTGCTCTGGTTTTTGAGGTCGTGACCTTGACCTTAAAGTTTAATCTATGGTCTTTTAATTTTTATTTTTTTTTGCATTGGTGATAACTTTTGAATGAGAAAAGATAGGGTTTTTATATTTTACGTGCAAATTACCTATGACAACACCTTTCAGAAAGGTATATCATTTCTTACTTCATTGCCTTATCCTAGAAGTTTGACCTACTTATCAAAAATTTAGCTATGGCCATAATTTCTGCTCCAGAAGAGACAGGGCTATCATATTTTTTCACATGTGTATTACATGTGACAAGACCTTTCGGATTGCATTATAATATTTTACCTTATGACCTTGATGGTTGTGGCAGTTTTGAGAAGCTTTAATCTTTGCCATTACTTTTATTAATTCAGTAATTTAGTAGTATATCTTTTCTTGTATAATGGACAGACAATGCAGGGCACAAAGACAAGCAAACAAGACAATTACAATATGCCATAAATAATGCATCCCAACCACTAAAACACTGAAAACGGGGGACCACAGTTCTTTGAAATTTCTTGTTATCTATATTATTTTAAGATAAAAAGTAGCCCAAAAATACAATCTAATTAAAAGTGAACTTTATTTTCGCTCCTCTACTGTACGTATTGAAGCCTAAAGTAGAGGAGCGAAAATACTAATTAGGTTGCACAAAACTGCACGCAAGAATTAAAATCTTCATGAAAAAATTAACTTTTTTCATATTACCTTTCATGTACGAAGATTCGTTTCAGAAGTGAAAATAAAGGAAACTGGTTTTGTTAACTATATACATGCACAGATCTAGACACCCACCCACCCCGGGATTTTCAGAGTTATTAAATTATAATGATTAAATAATTAACAAAATGTCGTTTTATTAGGAAACACGAAGCTCTCGCTAGTTCGTAAGATTTTATGTTGTTTTACGTTCCATTCGAGGACTTTTCACTAACATATAGATGTCACCGTATGCCGGTGAAGGGCTTCAAATTTAGACCTTTACTCGGCACTCAGGGTCATTGAGCAGTGAGGGTTCACCGTGACACAGGCTAGGTTTTTAAGGTCTCATCCAAAAGACTCGCAACTTTGAATTGCCGATCGCTTGGCAAAGGAACTATTTATCAACTTAGGTCTGTTGCTTGAACCCACGGAGCAAGCGTTATACCGTCTGAGCTACCGTGATGGTTTGTTTGTTTGTTTATTGATGGTTAGTTAGTTGGTAGGAAGAGTCATATATATATATATATTTTTATTTTTCTTGGGTGGGTTGGAGGCAGGAGGCATGCTTGCTTGTCAAAGAATTTTTGAGTAGGTATAACACCCCACCCCACCAACCACCACCGTAAATATATGTATAGAAGTTGATAAAGATGTTAAGTGGATCTGCTGTACACGAAAAACTTACTCTTAGATTCCAAGATGTATAAATAACAATCGAAAAATGGAATATTTAGTATCAATGTCATGTAAATCTGTAATTTACCGGGTGGGAGTAAATACAAAGTTTACCTGACATCTCTGATTTCATAGTGGACCCATTGGACTCATCGTTAATCTACGT